CCCTACAAAGCAACACAAGTATGACTACAAAGAGAGTACTATAGACTTGGCTTTGGCTTTGCAAAGTTTATTTCAGTGCTCTTGGGATGTCTGCTGCTGCAAGCATTGATTATAGACTACTGCTAGTCTACTATGATTCTGAATATGATTCATATGTATCGTCTTATAATTGCCAAATATGGCTATTAAGCAGCTACCTAAAACATAGAAACTACTCAAACAAATAGTATTGTTCTTTCAGGTACCACTCATCGACAGTCAATATGATGATTATCACTGCATGTATTGTTCCAAAATAAGAGTGCACCAACTGCCAGTGTATTTATGAAGAAAAGGAGCAGTCTGTTGAAAAAGTATTAACCACTAATGAGTATAGCGCAAACTATGAAGTAACCAAGACCCAGACCCGAAAACAATAGACTCCTATGATGACCCATTCTGTACAATCCCATCCCTATCCCCTATCCCTAGTTCGGCACGTACACCTGTAGTGGCCGCCACAAATCCGGTGCACGTTCTACATTCGTTAGTTTTCTCTCTTTTGGGAGAATGAGATTGAGAAAAAAGAAAACATACCAGTCTGTTCCTTCCAGTGTGCCATCACACCCGACACCCGTGCAGTCGCCGCCAGCACCGTCGCAAATTGGGAGTCAATGCCCCTGCGTCGATTAGTAGACATTCTCTAAAAAAGAAAAACTGGCGGAATACTTACAGTGCCGTGTACACGAAACTGCCGTACAAGTCCGCATTTGCTTGCAAGTTGCGCTTGACAAAGTACTCGTGTGTGCTGGCAATCCGGTCGATCTCCATGGCCACCTGGAGCACAGGGTCCATCTCGCGAATGTCACGATCCCGCGTCAGCTCGTCCAGCATCTCGCGCACGTACTTCGCCCGCGGGTCCACCTGCTTGTAGATCCGATGGCCGTACCCGGATAACCGGCACTCCTTGTTTATGACCTTCTCAATCAACTTGGGCACATTTTGCGGCCCACCAATCTCCCGCATTCCTCGGTACGCCGCGTCGATGGCACCTCCGTGCAATAGTCCGTAACCAGACATACAGCACGCGGCCATCGCCGAAAGTGGGTCTGCCAGGGAGGATGAGACGTGAAGGAAAGCTGACGTGGAGTTGGTCATCTCATGGTCCGCATACAGAGACCACGCCTTCGTCAGGATCTCCGCTGCCTTCTCCCGCGTGACGGCTGGGTTGTTATCCACATACCGGCCCATCCACAAGATGTTCTCGATGTAGCTCAGGTTCGGGTCGGCCATGCGGAGCTCCTCCCCCTTCATGTGGCAGTGGGCTATCGATCCGGCTATCGCCGTGACTGCTAATGTGCGGATGATCTGCTCATCGACCATTTCTGGGCGTCGGTTGTACAGATTGGCACCCGCATGGGCCGGAATGAGCTCGGGTTGATCTGCCAGATACCCCGTCAAGACTGCGCAGAGAATGACCATGGGAGGAGTGTTGCGTCTGCTTCAAGGTTAGCGGCATGCGTAGCGAAGAGAAGGGGCGGACTTACGGGAAAGTGGCCACAAGCTGCTTCACGTTCTCCGGCACCACCATCATCGCCTCGGCAATTCGCCGCTGGAAGCGCAGACGCTGCTCGGGTGTGGGTAGCGAGCCCCAGATGAGAAGGTGGGTAATTTCCTCGTAGCTCTTTCCAATGAGCGAGGCCAGGGGGTGGCCCCGGTACAGGATGACGCCCTCGTTGCCATTGCTACCTCAGTCAGTAAGGCAAAGATTGACCAGCGAAGAAAAGACAAGCATACATGTAGGTGATACTGGACATTTTGACGGCTGTGTTGCGGTACCCTGGGTCGATCAACCTGAGTCCATCCTCGAATTGCTGCCGCGGGCTTTTTCCTGCACGGTCAACGCAGATCTGACGGAATCCCATAGCCGGTACCGAGTTGCGCACGATGGGAATCGTATACTTCGATCCCGTCCGGTTATCCCGCACTGTCAACGTGCCTTCACGCTCTCCAGGTAGTTCCTGTTCCAGTAGGGCGTTGATGTAGTTACCCTGCAAGGGCAACAGGCTCTTGCCTGCATCGAAGAGACGGCCCAGCCAAGATGCCAGTGTGTATGCCATGTTGTAGAAGGGGATCGGATGAGTCTGCGAAGGATTGTCGCTGCTGCTGTCCTGATTCTGTTGGGCTTTGTCGGGCTCGAAAGCACATATTTGTACCTTGTCTGGCGTGGCAGCAGCCATCTGTCCGAGACCATGCAGTCTCGGACGGAATAGTTCAAAAGGACGAATGGATACGCCGAGATAGACTGTCAAGCTTTGGTCCATCGACTAGTGACAGCCCACAGAGACTATCACCGGCGATCGAAAGGCATCTGGCTGACACGGTCTGCCCGACGGAGCATAAAAGGGCGGTTCCCTTTGCGGTCTGTTTCGTTCGCCATCACTCTCGTCGCTTCCTGGGCCAATCCAAACTTTTCTTCCGAAACCTATCTACTCAAAAGCCTTTCCGTGCACACTCCGAGGACCATGTCTTCCACTTCCGATCGACAGTATGACGAAACGATAACTCGCCTAGTTGAGTATGTTTATCACTACGAAGTGACCAGCGACCTCGCTATCCTACGGGCCCGCTATGCCCTCATGGATGCTCTTGGTTGCGCGCTGGAGACTCTTCAGCAAAGCCCCGAGTGTCGCGCTCTGATCGGCCCATACACACCAGGTCTCGTCGCCCCTTATGGGTTCAAGCTGCCGGGCACCTGCCACCAACTCGATCCAGTCAAGGGTGCCTTTGATATGGCAACCTTGATTCGCTTCCTGGACCACAACGATGCATACCCTGGTGCTGAATGGGGCCACCCGTCTGGTATGCCCGTCTGCGGGATCTACGCTCCCAGAAGCTTGGTTGAATATAGGGCTAACTGATCGACAAAACAGATAACCTGGGCGCCATCCTGGCGGTCACAGATTGGCTCAGCCGTACAGGCGCCACCAGCCAGCCACTGACCGTCCGGACGGCCCTGATCGCGATGATCAAAGCCTACGAGATTCAAGGCTGCTACCAGATCCGCAATGCCTTCAACAAGGTGGGACTAGATCATACACTACTCGTGAAGATCGCCTCCACAGCTGTTGTAGCTTGGTTGATGGGTCTGACGGAGAAACAAGCCGCCGTCGCGCTCTCCCATGCGTGGGCTGATGGTCACCCTCTGCGCATTTTCCGTCAAAGTCCTAATGCGGGGCCACGCAAGGGCTGGGCCGCTGGAGATGCCGCCATGCGTGCTGTACACTTGTGCTTACTAGCTCGCGCCGGCCAGCCAGGCATTCCCAGCGCGCTAACTGAGCCGGAATGGGGGTTTCTCGCTGTCAGCTTTGGGGGCAAGGAGCTACAGCTGCCACGTCCTTTCAAGACACGGGTGATGGAGGAAGTTTTCTTCAAACTCATCACTGCAGAGGGCCACGGCATCTCCGCAGTTCAGGCGGCCATGGCGCTGGCCGAGACCATGGCCAGCAAGGGGATCGATCCCGCTACTGATATCAGTCGCATCGATATCCGCACGCATGAAGCGGCTGTACGCATCATCGACAAGCAAGGCCCGCTCACCAATGCGGCCGACCGCGATCACTGCATGCGGTACATGGTGTCGGTGGTGCTGTTGAAGAACGCGATCATCGAAGCAGAGGACTACCACGATTCGAGCGTGTGGGCCCATGATCCGCGTGTTGAGGCCCTACGCCAGCGGATCCATATGGCCGAAGACCCGCAGTTCACCTACGGCTACCACCACAAAAAGGCGGCCGCCAGCGGACTCACCGTCTTTCTGACCAACGGGGAGCAGTTAGACGAAGTAGTCGTCGAATACCCAATCGGGCATCCGATGCACGAAGATACTTTGCCTAAGGTGCGCGCCAAGTTTGAGCGAAACATGCAGGGCCTGTTCACGGCCGAGGAGACAAGCCGGGTGATCGACGCGATCCATCAGGACAAACTTCCGGTGCATCGATTGGTCGACCTGCTGGGCCGATGATCGCTACTAATCGCTAGTACGGGAACAGGTGGATTTTGGACAGGAGCTTGACGAGCTTGGCGAGTCTTCGCTGCTGGGTTTTTGGAACGATAGTGCATATAGTATCAACCCGGTCGAGAATAGACCGGTATAATCAATTTGATTAGTATAATTCAGTGATGTGATGTGCGGTGGGTGTGATCCTGCATGATAAAAGTGTGATAGCAATGCGACCCCTACAATTTGCTTCTTCAAGTACAGTCTCTGGCTGCAAATTTGTTCAAGTTCCGAAAAACGAATAGTTTGGCGTTCTCGCTATTGAGCGCCAGCTACCACCTTTAGTTTGCCCAGAATATCAATGTACTCAATATTTACCGTATTCTTCAGTGGCGTTATAACAGCCAGCGCGTCCAGGGTCTCGTCAGACACCCGGAGAATGGTTCCAAAAAGCGTAGTAGGAGGCCTGAGCCCAATAGTATAAGCCGGTACTGCCGATGAGTGCGGTATTCTCCTAAATTGTCTGGCGCTTTGGCCCTGCTTGCATAGCGACTCCTTTTCTTGTGATCCTCCTGCAGCCGACCGATCAGTGTTGTAAGCCATGGGCTTCGATAAGCTTCAAAGCGCGGATTAAACCCACGCCGAGAAATACTCCGCAGGAGGGCCTCCGAGGTAGTGAAGATGAGTAGAATCCAATAGGGCAATAGCGGGAAATTGGGGAAGGTATTGTGGGTCTCTGAAACCCATAGTCATGATGCTCCCTCTTCTAGTAGCACCTCTTCTTTGCTTTGGAATTATCCCCGATACGCGTCGTCACAAACATTTGACTTGCTGGCAATATTTTTTCCTCTCTCTTTTCTGAGAGTTATTCGAATATCCACCATGCCGTTACACTGTAGATCCGGTTCTCCTTGCAGGGAAACACATCTGACAGGTATCAGACCATTACAGATCGCGCCGACAAGGGTGCATTTCACCGCCGCAGGGGTACCATTTAGACCCTGGGCTAGGCCCCGACGCTCTCCGCAAGACAGTCGCCACCGCGCTCGAGCGCCGCCTGCTGAACTATATGCAACTTCGCTTTTGTAATATTGGGTACACTTCGAATCTCGTATTCCGTATGAGGAAGTGCTGCATACGGGCTGGCATCCTATCCAGAAATGCCAGAACTAACATGGGTTCCAGAAGATTTGGGTGTACTGTCTGTCCGATCTTCAACCACGACAATTGATCTGCAAGACCAGCTTTTGCGAATCGTTTATCCTCCTTTTCACGCTCCCGAAACACCTTCTTGTAGATGATAGCTTCACTAATAGTGCAGGCTATTGATTCTGCCACTGGCTTCCTTCTTTGGTTAAGCGTTCAAAGTGGGCGGTCACCAGCTGCTAGAGTTCTCAAATGACTACCAGAAAGCCCAGTATGGCGTTATTATTCGCGTACAATTGAGGTCGTTCATTGATCTGCAGCTCGTTTTCAAACGCGGTTTCAGCGAGCTGTTGCTGGGTCCAGGGCCTATGTACTCCGTATTGAGAAGGAGGCCGTGCGAGCGTGTAACATCCTCTGCGAGCAGAATGCCCAGGCTCCGAAAAACTTCCTTTCACGACTAGGCGAACTCACTAGCGACAGGACCGAAATTATTGACCAGCTGCTCAGTGTGATCCTTGCATGCCGTGACACCACTGCCGGTCTTCTGTCCGTTATGTTCCATGTCGTCGCTCGCCGTCTAGATGTCTAGGTCGAGGGTGCCCGCAGAAGTAGCCAACTTAGAGGGCAGGCAGTCATCTGTTTGTGACCTCCGTGGCCTGGAATATGCGTCGTAGGTGGTCAGTGAAAGTGCACTCTTCCTATCAGTCTTTCATTCCCATAATGCGACCTGTCCTGACGAAACCTGTACAGCTTTTTGTCATTACCATATTCTCAATGGTAACTTTCGCAGGGCAGTAAACGGCACCGTGCTTCCAAAAGGTGGTGGGCCAGATGGGTAAGCTCCATCTCTCGGGACGTAAAAATCACTTTCGATGTGCGTAGGCTTCATTGGAGACCGGATGGCTACAACCCGAACAAGGACCGGTTCAGACCAGGACGAAGGGAGATAGCTGCGACTTGGATGAACGTATCTGCAATTTGGATGGGGTGGGCACGTAAATCCATCGGACAACAATTTGCTTTGACACAGGTGGCCTACACCACCGTTCTGTTGGCGCAGCGGTTCAAGCGGCTCGGATGGGGATATACAAAATGACGTGAGGAGGATTTGACCATCATGTTGGCGAGTCGGTACGGACGCAGGTAGGATTTCGCTGCCTAGTAGATGTTGTAAAAGGATCAGCTGCTGTGATCAACATATGAGATAGGATTTGGTGTACTTCACGAAGAGATATATATATTGTACCAGCATACCTTTTGGCATACTAATAGTTAAGCATAGGAGATACTGAGTCAACGGTAACTGGACGGTACTACTGACTAATGATAGAAGCAAGGAACTGAGAGAAAGAGAGAAGAAGGACGGCAAGTCCAACGAAGTGGACTGCACCTGACCACACTAGGCCGAGCAAGGCACCTCAACACGAACAGTGCAATGCTTCCTGAAAGTCTAATACAGCACAAGATAGTTGGAAATCGCTATTGAGCATGATCTGCGGCGGGTTTTGATAGTTATGTATTCAGCCCGGGCCACTCTTTCAAGAGGAAAGGGTCACCAGACTGGCCTGCATGTGTTCGGGATAACTATATACACTTTGTCCGAGAACTACCTAACATCAATGTCATTGTGCGCTGAGCTTGGAGGCCTTAGTCCCACCCGTCTTCACTTCCTTCTCCAGTAGGTCCAACGCAGATGCATAGCGTGCCTTGACCTCCTTCATATTGTCCAATTTGAATTGCACCTTTCCAACCTTGGTGGACCGAGTGATCTTTCCATCCGAGCCCTTGGCGATCTGGCTTGCGAACCACTTGCCCTCTCGGTGCGCCACAAGCGTCCACGCCGATCCTTCCTGACCAGCTCGAGCTGTACGACCAACCCGGTGCACGTAGGTAGTAATGCTAGCTGGCACATCGTAGTTGACAACATGGGTTAGTGACCGTAGGTCTAGACCACGCGAGGCCCGGTCCGTTGCAATAATCACGGAGATCTTGCCCCGGCGGTAAGCTGTGAGGGTCTTGCGCGAAGCAGACGACTTGTTGGATTTGATGATCGTGCCAATGCGGTCAGAGAGGGAGGGTTCGAGGAGTGCCAACAGGCGAGCCAGTCGTGATGCGGATTCAGACGACTTCGTGAAGACCAGAACTGTGGTCTGCGAGGGCCCTTGTCGGTCCGACTTTTCGTCCTCTGATTCAGAATCGCTGTCCGACGACTCTGAATCATCGCTCGACTCGTCCTCCGAGGTATCATCGGAGTCTGAAGACGAGTCAGAACTTGTATCAGAGTCCGAATCCGACTCCGGGTCGGAATCGGAATCTTCGGAGCTAGACACGTCCGACGCGTCATCGGAATCCGATTCAGAGCTTGATTCGTCGGAATCAGAATCACCAGATTCAGAAGCGTCGTGCACAGAAGGCTTGATACTCTTAGTCTCAATCTTGATGTGGGACAGCAGAAGGCGCAGGAGGTAAAGCGGCTTCTGCGACCCATCTCCAACCGATACGGTATGCTCCTTTAGGGTAGGCGGGAGCGTAAACTGTTCCTCTGACGGTGCAACGCCACCGCTCTCATCTTCTGTTGCAGCGGCATCAGAGCCGACGACGACTAGCTTGGGGTTCGCAAGACGCAGAGAGTTAAGCTTTGTCACATCTCTAGTCATAGTGGCACTCAAAACGACTTTCCTTGGTTCCTTGCTTTGGATCGGCAAGCCAAGCCCGGACAGAAAGTTTCCACTAAACCCGAATGCATCAGGGGCTTTCCGGGCGTCCAAGGAGGTCATCACGACGTCCACCCATTCCTGGAAACTTTCATTTAGTAATCGATCTGCCTCGTCAATGACAAGCCATTCGAGATTCTTGAGAGTAAAACCCTTGGTATAGCGAAGATGGTCGACCAGACGACCGGGAGTACAGATTAAGATGTCGACATTAGGCTCTGACCGGTGAACGTAGCCTGGCAGAGACTCGCTTAGATCACCAGCGTCAGAGATGTAGTCCTGCAAATTGAAGTTCGTCCAATCATCACCTGTCAGTTGCACGTTCTGGCGAAGCTTGAATGTCGCAGGGCCATAGACCTGATCAACCCGCATCAACGACCGCTGCTCGTCTTTGATCGCAACGTTTCCAACTGCCGACGCGACGCGGAGGCCGGATCCAGCGGCACAGAGTTCACAAGCTTCTCTGGCCTGCTTCACCAGCTCTCGAGTAGGTACCACGATGAGTCCTCGTAACCGAGGCGCAGGGAGCGGCTTCAAGGCCGTGACCAATGGTAGAACGTAGGACAAAGTTTTTCCTGAACCAGTAGCGGCGGAGATGCAAAGGTCTCCTGGGTGGTTCGTAGGTCCTTGCAGGAGGAGAGGAATGACGGTTGACTGCACGGCAAATGCTTCACGATAGCCGTTGTCTTCCAGAACTCGGAGGAGGCTAGAGTCGACTCCTAAATCGGCGAATTTGCGTCGTTCCTGAGCCGATGCACGGAGGGGATTGGCCAGCCACGGCGGCAGCGAGGAGTAAGTTGGCATCTCATCCTGCTCAGGCACTGCCTCTGGTTGTGGTAACGGCTCCAGACCTTGTGCTATAACTGGCTCTGCTGTCGTTGGCTCAGTGGAATCTTCATCCTTCGTGCTTTCTCTTGTCTTTTCCAGCTCCCGTGCTTTCTTCGACCTTTCAAACTTGGACAGGATGCCGGCAAATTTGTTCTTCGTAGGTTTGTCGTCGTCATTCTCTGTCGCTGCGGGCTCAGAACTCTTTCGGCTTTTCTTCGTCCCTTTGTCTTGTTCCTCTTTAACTTCTTCAGAGTCGTCCGCATCCTTCATATCGACATCTCCCTCAACTGCATCGCTAATTGTTCCGCTTTTCCGCTTTCCATCCTTCGACTTCTTCTTTTTCTTAGTGAGGCTGTCGTCTTGGTTTGCAGTAGTCGTTTGGCCGCCGACCGGCGAGACAGCACTCTCTTTCTGGGGCGAAGTCTCTTGAACAGCACTGCGGCTTGCGGCTCCCGAGTGCTTTTTCTTCTTCCGGCTTTCTTTGACTGGGGTATCGTTGGATGGAGAACCCTGATTCTTCTTGGATTTCTTGGTCGGGGTGGGTGTGGATATAGCGGTGGCGGAGCCATCAAGATCTCTCTTTCTTTTTTGAGACTTCTTGGCGCTCGACGGAGTTCCTGAGCTTATGCGGGCAGGATCGTGAGATGCAGAGCGATCACCGGCCATGATCGCGGCGGTAGCGCAGGGTCAGCGCGAGGTTGACAAGGGAAAGGGGGACTGTAGCGCTGGGTCGGTGTTGCCAGAGCAGCTCCGAAGATTAAACATCAATATTTCTTTTCCAGCGGGGAATCTTTTCCCGGCAGAACCTCCCCACCGCCCCCACTGCCGCCCGGGTCTGGACCAATCCGGGCTTCATCGCGTCTATCCATCGCCGCAGCTTCGATCGACGGCCATCTGCTCATCCCCCTGACGCTGGTCTGGTCCGAACATGGATATGCTGGAAACAGCCCCCTCATGGCTATTGTTGAAGGCGTCATTTGGGTAGCTTAGCGTCTACCGACTGTCACTATGACATACAACATTGCGTGAGTGCCTGCTTGCGTTCTGAACAATCAATCAAGGTTGGCCTACTAATCAACGGCCCACAGTATGGTCAGTGACTTTTTCTTTCCCCAACCAGGTCAGTCGTTCTGTCTCATTCTCTTGTCTCTCCGACGACCAGCTACTGATGGTCCCAGGCGGAATTGAAAGTCACATCTATCAGCTATCGACCGTAAGATTGCTAGACCTCTCGCTCGAGCCAACGCTTATCGCTCTATAGAAGCTTATCGATCGCGGCCATAAAGTCATCATCATCACCCATGCCTACAAGGGACGCACTGGCGTTCGCTATCTCACCAATGGGCTCAAAGTTTACCATGTCCCCTTCTTCGTGATCTACCGGGAGTCGACCATGCCGACGGTCTTCTCATTCTTCCCTATCTTTCGAAACATAGTGATTCGTGAGCAAATTCAAATTGTACATGGCCATGCAAGTTTGAGCAGCTTTTGTCACGAAGCTATTCTTCATGCCCGGACAATGGGCCTCCGTACGGTTTTCACCGACCATTCGCTGTTTGGATTCGCAGATGCAGCATCAATTCTTACCAATAAGCTGCTCAAGTTCATTTTGAGCGACGTAGACCATGTTATTTGTGTCAGCCATACATGGTACGTCAACTACATGGATTATACTGAAAGCATACTAACTTTAAGGGCTAGCAAAGAGAACACGGTGCTTCGAGCCTCGCTAGACCCGTTGATGGTCTCTGTTATTCCCAATGCGGTGGTTGCAGAGAACTTCCGACCACCAGAACCACGGCCAATCGCGCGACTTATGGAGCCCAATGATATTATCACGATTGTTGTCATATCTCGTCTTTTCTACAATAAAGGAACCGATCTCCTTATTGCCGCCATTCCTCGGATCCTTGCCTCTCATCCGAATGTACGGTTCATCATTGCCGGATCAGGACCCAAGGCCATCGATCTCGAACAGATGCTAGAAAGGAATGTACTGCAGGACAAGGTCGAATTGCTTGGTTCGGTGCGGCACGAAGAGGTCCGTGACGTGATGATCCGGGGCCACATTTATTTACATCCGAGCTTGACTGAAGCGTTTGGTACTGTCCTTGTGGAAGCTGCAAGCTGTGGTCTCTACGTGGTGTGCACACGCGTCGGTGGCATTCCTGAGGTGCTTCCTCAACACATGACAACTTTTGCGAAACCGGAGGAGGACGATATCGTGCTCGCCACTGGAAAAGCCATCGCAGCATTACGTTCGAACAAAGTCCGCACGGATCGGTTCCATGACCAGGTCAAGATGATGTATTCTTGGACGGATGTAGCTGAGCGTACGGAACGTGTATACCAAGGCATCTCCGGGGACATTAGCCCCGAGGAATTTTACGGCTACTACCCCGGACAGGGATGGGAGGCCGGCCGAGATCGGGTGCGAAGCTTTGCCCTCATTGACCGTCTCAAACGATACTATGGATGCGGAGTGTGGGCAGGCAAGCTGTTTTGCCTCTGCGTGGTGATCGACTTCTTACTTTATGTGTTCTTGGAAATGTGGTTTCCCCGCGCGAATATCGACATTGCGCGCAGCTGGCCCAAGAAAATTAACCGAAAGGAAAACAAACGGCCGGGGTCTATATATAAAGGCGACCGTCTGGGATCTGCATCTTGACATGGTCCTGGCTGCACCCATATTCTCCTTTACACCATGACCACGCCACCTCTTCTCGACTTGCAATTTTGATTCGCTTATGATACAGACAGAGCACGATACCCATACCGATAGACGCAGGAATATTTTGTTCATTAATACATTGCCGTTAAAATACTTTCTTTATCTTCAAGCATGTTTGAAATCCAATCAAGGTCCAGCCTGTGGTGACGCTCAATGCTTGTGCGTGTTATCCCTCTTAGTCGAAGGCTCGTACTTCCACTCGGCGGCCGCCGTCTCTGCCGGCTCCGGCACGCGATCCTCTGCAGCCAAAGCACCCTTATCACCGCGCTGACCAGGGCGCGCCTCATCGCGCTCCAAACCACGCTGGCTCGGCATCTGTCTCTCAAATTTACTTCCGCTGCTAGCTCCAACCTGTTCCAAGCCCGCACTCTGGCCCTTGCGTCCATGCTGTTCATCATGATGAAGCTCGTTGCTAGTCTGGCCCGAACCAGGGTGGCCTAGGCCGCGGTGCACGTCCTGCGATGTAGCGCCCATCAAGGTATCGCTGGCGTTGGTCTTGACAGATTCCTTGCCATGGCTGCGCTCAACATTGGGGTTGAGTGCCTGGCTGCCCACCTCGCCAGTAGGATTAGGTTGGTAGGAGCTGCTGGCGGGCGCGGTACCAGGGGGATGACTCTCGGCGCGGAACTCGGGGACGAAGTCGCTAGGAGCGACCTTTCTTCCTGGTTGGTGCTGTTTCTGTCAGCATAACCTCATGACCAGACATCTATTTTTCTTATAAAAGGGATACATACACCGCCCTGCTCCATAGGAGCCGTAGGTTTCACCGAGGGGTGGAATTCACCCTGTTTGTTTGTAGCGACGGAGTCGGGGTTGTTGAAGTGGCTCATGGTGGATGTATATGTCCGGTTGTTATTGCCTGGTGAGAATTCGAGAGAAATTCAGTTCAAGATAATATAGCAACGTAGATTTAACACTGTTGAAATGGATACTAAATAGAACTCAAGCAGACCGTAACTGGAACGCCTATATATACAAACTGAACATTGGGTTGTCACTTTAGGGCTTCACGGGAATGACGTCAAGGTGACCGGCGTTGACTTCATGGCTTGCATGCTTTTCCATCACTTCACTTTCATCGTTCCACTGCTTTGACTGGCATAGACGTCATGCACTAGCATCGAGAATGTTCAGTGCGTCCAATCAGTCCGGTTTTTGGTCGCGTGCTTCCATGGGTTTGGCGGTAACTCTGCAGTATCCGTTATAGTGGGATAGGTTGCATGATGGGGGGCGGCTTCGTCAAATGCCGGTGCATGGAATTGGCAGTTTGTTTTGATCTAGGCCTTGGAGTTGATGATGATGTAGTAGGAGCTTTGCGGTGTTGATGCTTTGTTCTGTGTGTTGTACTGGGGTATGGTCATTGCTGGATGGAGAGCTGTCTACATGGTTGAGGTACAATATGCGCTATGTATGACAGTTACAGCGAAAGCCAACTGGATAAAGACCAAAGTAAAAAACAAATGCAGTTACAGTAAGGTATCTTCCCAATTCACATAACCTCTTGACGCCAGAACTCAAGCCCGAATGACACGATGAAGGAACATGAAAAGAATCGAAAATCTTGCAACAGACCATTCCCCCCAAGTCTATCACTTCATTAACGGCGGCCGTCCCTCTTTATTCCACTTGACTCGCGTCTGCACCCATTCCACCGCTTCTTGCACTCCCGACCCCATCAACGCGCTGACCGGCAACACACGACTATCCCTCACTCCGGCCCCGGACTCTCCCTCGAAGACCTTGCGCACGAACCCCTCCTTGATACGAACAACCTCCACCGAGTCCTCGCGATCTTGCTTATTTGCTAGCACGAGAATCGGCACACCCGCCACATCCGAATGCTGCAGAACCGACTCCAGCACTTGCCGACACTCGTCGAGCCGACCGAAATCGCTCCCGGGCGCATTGATCCCGACCATTTCTTCGGTGAATGCGCCCGAGTGGCCTCCTGATGGACCGGACGCAGAGCTAGGCCGTCGACTAGGGAGCCGGGTGATATCTGGGTCTTGTCCGACGTCGGCACTGTCGACGACGAAGATAATGGCATGGCAGCTGGTGTAGTAGCTTTGCCAGAGATTCCGCATGGAGATCTGTCCCCCTACATCCCAGATCTTCAGATACATGTCCGGTAAGGAGATGGTCGCGACGTTTTGGCCGACCGTGGGCACGGTTTTGCCGGGGTTAGGGGCGGGAGCGCCATCTGGTCGGGGTTGATAGAGGGCTTTGATTTGCGACAGGAGGGTAGTTTTGCCGGCGTTATCAAGGCCAAGGAGGAGTACGGAGTATTCTATTATCATAATATTAGCGCGCGAGGATGGGATTAGGTTAAAGACGTCTACTCACCCTCCTTGCTAGTAGCGTACATATACAGGGACTTGGCCAGATGATACATGGTTGCGGAGAAGGACTGCGGAGACTAGACCAGATAACCTCCGGCGGACGCAGCCTCGGAATTCCAATTAGAACCGGCGGGACGACAGCTCAGGTAACAGAATCATGGCAGCAGCAGAAGGCTGGATTCTTGAGATATTCCACCTGCTGCTTTGATTTGTCTTTTGCGCTTCGATTGGGAGGGACCCTGGCCAGCGCCGATGGCGATAGATTGATGGCCTGGGGGTCCACGCGTCAGCCGCGTCTCGAACAGGAAGGTAGGGTATAGGGTAGATATGGTGCAGGCCCCAAGCCCTACCTTCCGGAAGAGGTAGACCCCGCAACGTCAAAAGTCATGCATTGTCGATCTCTTCATTGATTGGGAATATTATTCATTATCCGGGAATGTCGTTATCGCTCCCGACAGGACAGGGCCACGAATGTGCTTTTCCTTTCAACAAAGTCTCTCGGAACCCAGATTGACGGGATCCATTCACCACGGCCTGCCGGTTTGACTGTGGCAGCTAAACTTCCCAACTTCTCGACCCCGGATGCGCCGGTAGCACGGAGCAACGGCCATCATTGGAGGCTGACAAGCAATTGCCCCCCCACGTCCCTTGGCTGGATCCATTTTTACTGAAATAAGTAAGGATTACATAGTCGAGTTGAGGGTCCTGCATTTGTCAGTTTGTCAGCGTCCCCAGGCCTGCCTCGTCCGCTCGCGGAATCGGCATCCCCTCTCCCCCTTCCTCTTCCTATGGTTTTCCTGCAAGCTTAATCCTTCCTTCTTCTTGTCAATGTAACGGCCACTTGATGGCCCTCCGGTTCTCTGCCTTAAGCTGGAGGTAGTGGCTTAACTGTAGATTTTCCAAATACTGTGCGGTTGGGACTTATCGGAGGATTCCTATAATCGCATGTCGCAAACAGCATGCCCCACGATGGTTGGGCGGACGAAGGCGCAAAAGATGCCTTCATTGGAGACTGACACCATTATTGTCGGTATGTCGCCATTTCGTGCCAACAGAGATGCTAGATTTTTACTTTCGATTCTCCCCCCTGGTCCGTGTTATCGTGCTGATGTGATCCCCCACAGGGAACGGGCCGTCGGCCATGATCTTGTCGTATATTCTTCATGGCCATCTTCCATATTACTGCTCCAATCCTCCCCATCCTGATCCGCTTCTGCATGCGAAGCTCCAGGGTTCCCCGGAGTTGCTCCATGTGGACGTGCACGCTTTGACGGATCATTTCGCCGCCTCGAGACTGTCGTACTCCACACAGGCTCTCCCCGTGAACGTGCTCCTGGACACGCTGGTGCGCCCCAGCGTGGATGTAGAGGAGCTGGAAGCCATCACGAACGTCGAATGGCGGTTCGTGCCCGAAAAGGCCGTTCCCCATTTGGTGTTCGGGAATGCTCAGCATGCAGGGGGTCAGTGGACTGATAATCCTGTGCCTGCCAGCTGGGACATCCAGACCCTTAGCTATGCGTCCATGCTGTCTCTGCCGGGCTATTCGTTCGCTGAGCACCACCGGAAGATTACGGGCAAGGAGCTTCCGGCATATACCCGACCCAGTCGGGAAGAAACAGCAAGTTACTTCCGTACGTACCCCGAGGCGGTTCAGATCGACGACGTGTTCCGGTTCAATGAAACCATATCCGGCATCTCACGAACAGACGATGGGTTTTACATCCACTCGCACAACATACACTGCAAGCATCTGGTCCTGGCTAGTGGTATATTCACTCAAGTGCTCCAGCCTAGTCCAATGCTGCAGCCTTTGACGTCACTCCAGCCCACTCCGCAGACCCCGCTGCTGGTGATCGGCTCTGGCTTCTCTGCTGCGGATATAATCATCTCTGCGCCGGCGGATCAGAAAATCATCCACGTGTTCAAATGGGATCCGGAAGGGCGGTCATCACCGCTGCGTGGCTGCCATCACCAAGCATATCCTGAATACGCCGGAGTTTATCGACTGATGAAACGAGCTGCCGTTGCAGCAGACCCTACGAAGAAGCGAGTAAAGCCGCGCCGCACTACCTCGATCCCTTTTCTAGAACTTCGCTCGTGGGAAGATATATACGAAGGATTGCCCAACTCGGAAGTTGTCGACGTCGAGATGCAAGAGGATCAGGCCCTCGTTACATTCCGCCAGCCTGACGGGAGCACCATCTCCCGTGCCGTCCGCGGGATGGTCTATGCCACTGGCCGACGAGGCACCCTCGACTACCTCGACCGTCCTCTCCTCAATGAAGTACTCGACCACGATGCGACCACAGAAACGAGTCCAATCATCTCTGCCCGGTCCTTGCGCAGCAAAGTATATGAGGATATAGAGATCGCGCCAGACGTGTTCATCATCGGCAGCCTCACAGGCGACTCTCTCATTCGCTTTGCGTACGGCAGCTGCGTCCAGGCTGCCGGGAAGTTGGTCGACGCACGCACGGGCAAGGAGCGAGTTCGCAGTGGATCGAACAATAACTCTCGGCCTCAGTCATCGTTGGGGGTCATGCGTGGCATAGATGGACACGATATCTCGCCACCTAGCGAGTTTCGTGCTGTAGATAACGACTGCATGGCGTCGACTTGGCCGCAGAGGGTTATGCCGAATGGCTTGTGGAGATGGCTCTGGAGATGGTTTGACGTGAGGTGATTGATGACAAATGATGCATGATAGATGATAGATGTGATGATGATTGTACATAGCATGTCATTGGTTTTGTTTATAAAGGGAGGATATGTCGTTATTCATGTATAGTTGGCTGAATTGTTTCATTGATTATGCATATATCTTGACTGTCAGAGGACTATTCTGTATCACTTCCAGTAAAGAAAACCTTCATTATCAATCCACCAAACAGGATCAACAAAATCGTACATCTTGGGCACTGCCTCACGCATAACCAATTATACGGGAAAGGTAAAAGCTACTAGAGAGGAGGCACTGTTCTAACAAACCTCCGCCACAGAAACATCAAACCTCGATCAATATACAGCACCTAAACTACCCTTCCAGAGCAGCCGTAACGTTCACTTCACCTGATGACATCCTCAACCCTTCAGTCAGAATAATCACCTAAAGCAAGGATGCTCCAGCGCCTCTTTCGAGGTGATCCTCCCCCTCGGATCAAGATAAGTCATCTTAGCCACCAAATCCTTAAGTTCGGGTTCAAGAAAATCCCAATGCTCAACCGGTTGTCTCGGATTCTCCGGTCCGAATGTGTTAATTAGCTCCAATATGCGTTCGAAGAATGGGTTTTGCTCTCCTATATGCTCGAGGAAGCGCTCCACGCCCTCTATGTCGGCAAAGTATGATAGATGAAGGCGAAGAACATGACGCCAGGAGTCCTCGGCGTTCAGTTGTTCATCCGGGACGCGAAGAACCATTTCATTAGCCATCACGTAGACCATCTGAGCAACATGTTAGCAAATGGGAGCCCGCTCATAATCAATGAAAAGAGACGAAATGGACCGAGCATACCACAAGGGCAAAAGAAAACACATCAGAAGCCTGATTCTGACGAGATCGCGCCCAGCTCTCGGCGCTGCGCCAGATAGCGTTGCCGCAGAGAGGCCCTCGGAGCCATTTGCCTGGTGGGACGATGACTGTATCCCCCAAGTCGGAAATCTGGACTTGTTCGAATAGTGTGATCTCTTGATCCTCAGCAGCAGGTTCCGTGTAATCGATAAGGATATTGTTGGGTTTGATGTCTGTTGATAGTTAGCCACTTGATCTTCGTGTTTAATTATACATGTTCCACTTCCCATTGTGAACCATATCCTTGGCGTGCATCTCAACCAGCCCCTGCAGTGCGCTGCGTAGAATGCTCCTCCTTGTTTCTTTTGATAAATTTCGCTGACTAAAGCGAAGCAAGTCTCCATCTAAGAAGGGATAGAAGAACACTTCAGTCTCTCGCACAGAATCCACAGCTGTGCGGATGTTGGGACACAGGGATAGCTGTTTTTGTATGTTGACCTGATGCTGAAAGTCGCCTGGGATTATATTTTTCAAGATGTATTGCTTTCCTTGAGCGCTTGGGGAAGGTTAGTAGCCAATGATCCGAGCTCCATGTCAACGCGTAAAAGCGACATACCTCGCTCGGTATACATGCAAACCGCTCTTACCCCCGTGAGTGAGTAGCTCCTCAATACGGTAGGGCTGTTCCGAGTCACTCTTAACACTCGTGCCTTGGGTTAGTGATACCTGGCGTGACTTTGTAAGGGTGGACATCATGTCTCGATGCGTAGGTCCATATTGAAGACAAGATTTACGGATCACGGGATGGTCTGGAGGGAAGAGAGAAGCGCATTGGAAGAAGATGTCGGGTGCTAGCATGAACGCCTGAACGGACCATCATTTATGGGTGGTGTAACTTGATCTGGGTCCAGGATAGCGAGTGATCCCGATTCACGAGTCACTCCACGCCTCGGCGGCTACCTGAGTCAGCCAAAGGGGGTCGATGCGGATGGTGATGTTTCATCAAAGTCCCGTTATCCTATTGAAGATTGATCGTCTCCGCATCGGATCTTTCGAGGGGATGCAAAGAGGTCTGGGTCATGTCTGGATGAGAGATTGTTTTCAGCCGAAGGAAGGTGCTACTGTGGATTTTTATATTCACAAGTATCAGGATCATGGCAGTTGTATAAGATTCTAGCAGTTGCCGTATTCAGCTAGTAGCAGCAGCTATAAAATCTGTTTTGAGCACGATAAACTATAGCACTTGGTCCCAAACAGTGTGAGAACACTGCTGGAATGTCCGCTGAGTAGTGCATACAAGAGATAGTAACTTAATCTTGGTTCAGGTAATGGGTATAAGTAATGTCATCGTATATCATGGCTAGCCCATGATCTGCAACTGGTCATCCGGGGGCCAACGCGTCTGCGCAAAGCTGAGGCACCGCTTGATGCTCTGCAAGTACTTGCGCGTAATCTCGTCACTCAGAATATGCGCCTGCTGATCGCTCTGATGCAGCTTCTCTCGTGCGGAACGTTCGTGAATACCAACCATGGTCACACCAATAGGCCAAGCACTGCAAAACATTAGCCAAGAACAAAGCCTCAGAACAGAAAGCAGATACGTACGCTTTTCCAATACTCAACCGAAGGTAGGCATCATTAGCATCGACATACCGCCGTTGCTGCGCCTTGGACACAATCTCTACCACATGGTCGAGCACTCCATCATCAATATCAACCTTCTCGAACTTGCGAAACAACGGCTTCATGTTCTCCCGCGACTGCACCACCGCATTATACGCCTGTTTCCCCTGCAAGCTCAGCTTGACCGACGCATCTCGCTTCGCCAACGCCAACTCCCACTCCCGCAACACCATATTAAAGTACGACGCCAGCTGACGAAACAAGAACTTCTTCCCCTCCAGATCCTTCGGCGCCGTCTCCGGAATCTTCATATCCACCTCCGGCACCAGCTCCAGCGTTGTCGGGATCGGCCCATCCGACAACTGCGGCTGCGGCGTCAACGACCGCTGCAACAGCCTCCTATACCGCCTCAGCCGGCCCTTATGCGTCTCCCCAAACAATATCGCCGGCTCCTCCATCTCCCGTAACTTCTTCAACAGCTCCTCCTCCGGTATATCCTCCTCGCCACCTTCCTTACCCTCACCCTCTTTATCATCTCCAGACTCTGTAGGCGGCAGTTCCGGCAAGCCGAGTCTCTTCCTGCGCTCTCGTTCGCGAGCAGCTTCCTCCTCTTCGCGCTTCTTGCGCGACTCCTCGGCCAGTTTGCGCTTCTTCTCTTCCCGCTCGCGACGGCGGTCGGCTTCTTCGTCTTCGAGCTTGCGTTTCTGGGCGTTACGCTCTTCGCGTTCGCGGGCTAGGCGCTCTTGTTCTTCATTGTAGGCTGCGATGCGGGCGGCTTCGAGATCGCCGCGCCGGGTGTATTTGGGCTTGGAGGAATCTTGGGAGTCTGCTTTGGGTTTTGCTTTGGAAATCTCTTTGGACATCAACGATGCGAAGTCCATGTTGGCGTAGTAGTTATGATTGCAATGGAGGTATAGTGGTGGTTGTGGCGATTAGATAGATAGAGTTGATTTAAATTGGAGGTAGATAGAGAGAAGAGACCCGTGTTCGGCAAACTTGCCGCGGCGGAACTTCCGCCGTCCAGATCCAGCAGAAACACCCGCCTGGATAGCTTGTTTGCAAGCTTCATCCTCCACTCCACTACTTTTACCTCACCTCATTCTCTCTTTCAATGCAATAACCTACACATCCAATCTACCTATACTGCACTACGAACACGTCGCACTCTACTACACTCCAACCACCCATCAACAATAACAAAAGATCAGAATAAAGGAAGGAATCAAAATGACACCACCACCAATCGACCGCCAAACCACCACCCCCTTCCACCTAAAGCTCTTCTACCGACTCAACAATTACCACCACCTCTCCGACTTCTCCTCCACCTCCTCCGCCTCCTCATCTTACAGCGGTCCCACGAGCGGGCCCAACGCCATCCGCACGCGCAGTCCACCACCACCGCAACAACTCCCCCCACACCTTCAAATCTACACCTGGCAATCCTGCACTCTCCGCGAACTCTCCCACCTCCTGACCTCCGCGCTACCTAGTCTTCTTCCTGACCCACCCGTTGGTACGCGCCTCTGCTTCCGCCTCATATACCCAGACACCAAAGGCGCCGCGACAATGGGGCCCGACGCGAGGGGCAGATATCTAGCGAAGGATTTGGGGAGTGTGATTGTCGGTCCGAGGGAGAGTGCGATTGCGAACGGTGGGGATGAGGATGAGAACGCGAATGGAGAGGAGGGAGGGCAACGGAAGGGTAGTGTTGGTGGAGGGAGATTGAGGATCCAAGGCAATGATGCGGACAAGACGTTGCAGGAGGCGCGATTCGTCATTGGGGATTATGTCGATTGTGCAGTTTTGCCGCCGCTTGAGGACGGGTCTGTTGCGCCGCCGGTCAATCCGGGACGGGGGATGGCCATGGGTGGGGGCATGAGGGCGTTCCCTGGGGATGCTGGCAGGGGGGAGAGGTATCGTGGAGGTGGAGGTGGGGTGAGAGGTGGGAGGATTCCACCGGGGGATTGGAGACGGGGGGAGAGGATTCCGGAGGAGAGGGGAGGTGGTGGAGGAGGAAGAGGAGGGAGGAGGGGGTGGGCGCCGTATTGAACTAATTGATTGATTGATTTTGATGCTGTATGTGTATGTATGAGTGTTAGGAGTTGAGGATACCCGGTTAGCTACAGGGATGTCTTGTCTAGTATCTACTAGTAATGTCTGTCTTTATTGGCTGTCCTTCGTAGGCACTGCAAACGGTGTAGTAAACGAAATCTTCAATAACGGTATAATAGTAGTAGATACACATCCAGCCCGTCCCATCACATCACACTTTTCTTCCTCCCATCACCATGCTTGAGAGAATCGAATCGATCTACCACTCGACAATCGTATCGCCCCTGCGCTTTCCACGCAGCTGGTACAGACCCTACACATACCCATTAGCCACACTCCTATCATCCACCGGTGTCCAATCAAAACCCAGATCACTCACATCAGTCTTATAAGCGACATAGCCCAGCGCACCTGGAATCAAAGCCATGTAGAGGAACGAGAACCAGGCATGGCGCGGCGTCCACCGGAAGTACTTGTAGCGGTTGGCGTTGAGTTCTGCAAGACACCACTTCGTCAGTCATTTATCATCCTTCATCCATCCGAACTCCTTCATAAGTAGCAATTGCTATCGCTGGAGGAGCACTGTAATGCGTCGAGTCTTATTGGCGGGAACAAACGGACCGTAGTATTTCTGGAGGGCCGGATCAAGGATCAAAGCTGGAGGTAGCGGTTAGCAATTGGCATTGAGAAGATTTAAAGGCGAAGGACATACACTTGCTGGGACCGGCCATGGTTGCGGTTTGGGGAGCGCTGGTTATTGCTGGCGAGCTGGGGGTATGCGTATTGGTTGGTGGTGGTGATGATGTTGAAGTTGGGTCATGTGATCTTTAGCATAATTAGTAATGCACATAATATGATTGTGTTATGCAGTTATGCATATATGCAGGTGAGTGGGTATACCGATCAAAGATAATGTGATTACTATAGGTATATCGTTATCGATGGGTATTCTGGATACAATTTACATAGTTAGCTCCTATCACATATACATGTACACTATCCACACATCTGAAAGTTGAATAGATTCCTCGCCCTCCGTACTCCGCACAGGTTGATCGCAAAAATGGGCGCCCCACCCATGGCGTCAGTCTTCACAAGAACATCCGAGGTTGCGCATGATAGTCTAATTAGTTTGTGATGAGAACCTAATCACATTCAGTCTAATCTAGACCCTACCACCTAGGCTATTTACATATAAGATAACATACACATCTTCGTCTTCCTATTCATTACACCACCACACCACCTATCGAACACTTCTCCAAGCACCCAATATGACCGACCCCAACAAAGGCACCAAAATCACCCTCTACTGGTACCAATACCCCCTCCCATCCTTTCCCCCCCTAACCACCTATACTAACAAAATGTGAATAAAACCAGGCTCTCCCAATCCCGCTCCCACCGCATCCTCTGGCTCCTCGAAGCCCTGCACCTAAACTACGAGCTAAAGATCTACCACCGCGGACCCGACAAGCTCGCGCCCCCGGAACTGAAAGAGATCCATCCGTTAGGAAAGTCGCCTCTCCTGACTATCCAGCCCGCGAATGCCACTCCAGACCAGAAGCCCCTTGTGCTGGCTGAATCGGGTATTATCATCGAGTACCTGCTCGATCACTTCGGCTCCAATGCAGAGAAACCTCTCCTCCCGCCCCGGTGGAAAGATACCCAAGATGGTGTAGTTGGGGGAGAAACAGAGGAATGGATGCGCTATCGGTACTTCATGCACTATGCTGAGGGCAGTCTCATGCCGTTTTTGGTCATGCAGTTGGTTATGGATAGTATGTTTCTCAAACCCATACCAGATCTATGTAATGTGTGTGTGCTAATGATGATGACAGCGGTGAAAAACCCCCCTGGAATGCCTTTCTTCGTCAAGCCTCTTCCGCGTCTCGTCGCGGGCCAGGTCGAAAAGGCGTTCCTGGCGCGAAACATCCAGTCGCACTTGGAATTCCTGGAAGATCAGCTGCGGAGTAGTCCTAATGGGGGTGCCTATCTCTGCGGGACGGAGTTGACGGCCGCGGACATTATGATGAGTTTCCCGGTGATTGCTATGTCTGGGAGGTTGGAGGAGCAGTTGGATAAGTTTCCGTTGCTGAAGGGGTATGCGGATAGATTGGAGAAGGAGGAGGGATATATTAGGGCTGTGAAGAAGGTGGAGGAGGTGGATGGGAAGTTTGAGGCTTCTCTGTAATTTCTCACCTTTTCTATTTGTGTGAGTTTGATGTGATTGGGATCGGGGGTAATGTTATATATGATAATGGTACTAGTGTAGTAACTAATTATGCAATCTATCTATCTGTATTAATTATAACATTGGTATATGTCTATTACATCCGTCCAATAGCTTCACACTCCATCCCCAACTTCTCCAGCTCCGCCCCATCTAAACATCCCCGTCCATCATACACCCACTTCGGATCCTTCAGGTTGTACGCGATGCGCGCCCACTCCAATGGCTCGTTAGCCACAGCCACAGACCGCGGCGCCCAGCTCCGACACGCTGCGCAATCATTCCCACACCCTTCCTCCGGCGTCAATCTATACGTAACTCCCTGAAACACCCACGTCTCATCCTTGCGCACCGGGGAAAGCATCTCATCCAGACTCTCATACGCATCTGAGTCAGAGCGTGCAGCACCCCCAAATCCCGCTCCACTGCGCTTCCGTCCATTCTTGAACTGATCGCAATCCGTCATGACCAAAACCGCATTAGCCTGTGAACACGCCAAATACGGATCCGACAGGACCTTAACCCCAGCAGCCACAGTCTCCTTCCCACAGGCTGCTTCCAGCTCACGCAGGATATCCTCCTCATGACAGAACAAATCAAAAATATCAATCTCAGCTGGCCTCTCCTCAAGCAACACCCTGATGACGTCAACAACAGGCGACTCGCGCGTATCTCCCGTATCCTTCTTAAACGCGAACCCCAGCACAGCAATCTTCCTCCCGGATAGATTCCCATCGAAGCGGTCGATGACTCTCCTTGCGAACCGGACGCGCTGGTACTCGTTCATAGCGTTGACCTGGCGCCAGTAGTGCGCTACTTCGTCTAGCCCCAATGATTCAGCGAGATAGGTCAGACTGGCGATGTCTTTGCGGAAACAGGATCCGCCGAACCCTACTCCTGCTTTGAGGAACTGTGGACCGATGCGCGCGTCCATGCCGATGGCCCGCGCAACTTGGTCGACTTCGGCGCCTGTCTTTTCGCAGATCGCGCTGATAGAGTTGATGCTGCTGATGCGCTGGGCGAGCATGGCGTTGGCGACCAGTTTGGCCAGCTCTGACGACCAGGCGTTCACTTGGAGGATGCGCGTGGGTGGGACCCAGGAGGAGTAGAGGTGCGCGAGCATGCGGGCTGCGCGCCGGCCTGGGGCTGTTCCTGAGGAGCCGATTAGGACGCGGTCTGGATTTACGAGGTTGTCGATGGCGGAGCCTTCGGAGAGGAATTCGGGGTTGGAGAGGATTTCGAAGGGGGTGTTGGGGCGAAGGGTGGAGAGCTGCTCTGTTAGTATCTTTTCTGATTCTAGGAGACTTGAAGAATGCAACTTACTGTTTGTCGCACTCGCTCGGCTGTACCGCATGGCACGGTGCTCTTCTCGACAATGATAGCTCCCGGCTTTGCGTGTCGTGCGATATCTTGCACGGCGCCGTCGACGGCTGTCATGTCGGTGGCTCTGCCGGCGCCGAGGCCAAAGGTCTTGGTGGGAGTGTTGACGGCCAGGAAGATCATGTCTGCGTCTGCAATGGTCGTTGAGTCGCATGTGAAGAACAGGTTGGGCTGTCGGCGTGAGTATACGGAGCCTTCGTTACCAACACTCTGGGCCACGTCCGAGCCATCGCGCGTCGCCCGCACCACATTGTAGAGAGTAGGTTCATGCACAGGGAGATGCGCCGACTTCCAGCTCTGAATGCGACGAGGATCTCGGTCTAGCACAGTCACTGCGACAGAGGGATTGTATAGGGCGAGAACAGCCGCGGTTGGTCCGCCTGTAGAGCTGGCTTAGTTTGGCTCGTAAATGAGGGCAGTGCCAGCTGAAGCCTACCCACGTATCCTGCACCCACAACACAGACGCTCTTTACGCGATCGTCCGCCAGAATGCACGCTGAATTGGCGCTTGCGGCATCGTGGGCTCCCTGGGTGCCTGAGATTCCCGTGGGAGAGGTGCAATGCGACGAGGGCACATCGTCCACCTTTGCGGCGCGAAACAGCGGACTAGAGGCGGGGGTAGTGGGACAGGTTGAACTGCCATCTAGACTCCATTCGAGCGAGCTCCGTGGTGAAGAAGAGAGATCCATTGTGTTGCTGCTGCTGCTGCTTGTAGTCTTTCTTGTGTTACCGATGGCGACAGACCTCACTCACCAGTCACTCCAGGAATTGACGACTGGGGGAGACGACTGAGGGGCAAGACAAGACCAGGGAGGCGGGACCACAAGTAGTATAAGCATCTGCCCAGACATCTAGAGGCAAGAGATCGTCGGGCGACCGAGGGCGATAAGGTCTTGCGCGGAGGGCGCATGGCCGTTGCAGGGGAACGTGAGCAGCAGAACATGAAGGCGAGAGCGGGAGTCGATACCACAGAGCTGTATGGGTTGATGCACGCGGGGGGCAGCACGGACTGCCACTGGATCAACCATTCGGGGGATGCAGGAGGCATTGAAGGAGTGAAGTTTGGCTGGTGATCCGCCCGAACGAGCGATTCTCTCCAGCCAGCCCACGTGCCCGCATCCAGCCCAGCGACACGGACGGATTTTTGCGCATCACCTGCAGCGAATTCTCGGTTTATGGTCGTGGTGATCAATTGTAGTAGTTGATCTGTCCTCCTGAGTCTGGTTACTCCGCACACCGTATCGTCTATCCTTGTAGAACATAAGTACGTGCGTGCACTCCTGGTGATCGTAGTATATAGATAGATGAACAGTCCACCAATCAGTATACTGGTTGAACAGTATCAGTATCACCCAAAATGCCACCATTCATTCCCCCATCGGAGAACTTCCCCAGCATCCTTAAAGGCAAACGAATTCTCCTTACCACTGAATCCCTTGGTCCAGTCAACGGCGTCAGTCGCACAACCGGCAAACTAATCGAGTATCTGCGTCGCAATGGCGTCGAATTGGCCGTTGTGGCACCACAACTCACATCCTCACCATCACAACAACAAGACACAATAGACACCACAATCCGCCTCCCCGGCTACCCCCTCCCCTACAATCCGGATCTAACCCTCGTCTACCCCTACAACCTCACCACCACAATCTACCCCCAAACCTTCACCCCCGACCTAATCTACATCGCCAGCCCAGCCAGTCTGGGCTTCCAACTCCTCCTGCAACTCCGCCAACTACACTCTCCCCCACCAACGCTTCTAAACTACCAGACCGACCTGTCCTCCTACAGCTCAATCATCTTCCCCAAGCCCCTCTCCACCTTCGCCGTCTGGCTCCTCTCCCTTGTGGAAGGATATCTCTTCCGCACTCCTTGCATCCACACTATCTTCTACCCGTGCAGTGATGTCCTAACCTACTTGAAATCCACCAATACTCCTATGCACAAAACCCATCGATTAGGGAGAGGAGTCGATACGTCTCTTTTTAATCCATCCCGCCGGTCTCAGTCCTTACGGGATACATTAGCTCCGAACGGCGAAGCTATTCTTCTAACAGTTTGTCGGATCGCGCCTGAGAAGGGGTTTGAGTTCCTCGCTGAGGCTGTCACACACCTTCTCTCTAGTACTAAAATCCCCTTCAAGCTGGTAATAGTCGGCGGGAACGCCAACCCCGCTGTGACCGCACGCATTCAGTCCCTCTTCCACCACATCTCATCACACGTCATCTTCCTTGGCTTCAAAACCGGCGAAGAGTTAGCGAGAATCTACGCCTCAGCGGACATATTCCTGCACTGCTCTATCACAGAGACGTTCGGGCTGGTCGTGCTGGAGGCTATGGCGAGCGGGTTGCCAGTCATCGCAAGGGATCAAGGTGGTCCGTCGGATATTGTGAGGAATCAGGAGACGGGGTATCTGGTTCCGGTGGCGGAGGGGGAAGTGGGCGTGTTCAGTGGGCTTGTGGGTGAGGTTTTGAGGGATGGGAGGTTGAGGGGGCGTTTGGGGAAAGGGGCCAGGTTGTTTGCGGAGGATATGACCTGGGAGAGGATTAATCGGAGGGTGGTGGGGAGGATGGCGGATGCGATTGTAGAGAGGGGAAATGGGGAAGGGGATGAGGAGAGGGCATTGTTGGGGGGGAATAGAGGGGAGGCGTCATTTGGGGAGAGGGTCAGGGTGGGGGTTGCTGTTGCGGTGGTGTATTTGATGTGGATGGTGGCTGTTGTGCCGTTGATTGTGCATGGGTCGAGGATTGTGCCCAGGATGGTGCGGAGGGTGCCGCTGTTGGGAAGGTGGGTTGGTCGGAGTACTTCTGCTGCCGCTGTTTATACGTAGTAGAGTGAAGGTGTGTTGGTAAGATGTGTATGTTTATGCAATATATTATATATTACATCTGTTAGCCCATGCAACTCTATATATACAACCTCGTCTGCTAGTGAGATCCCGCCAACTGGGTATAGCACAAGAATGCAAATGGAAAGTTAGAAATCAGCTAAACTTCCGCTTGATTTCCTCCTCGCTGAAACGACGCGTCTTGCGACGCAGCATCGCCGCAAGCTCCGCGTGCGTCATGCCGATCTGGTCGCCCATCGGCACGAGACACCGCGCCAGGTGGTCGTAGTCCTTGCGCATCAGTCGCACTGTGATCATGATGTAGTCGATGTTGCGGAACACGAGGGCATGCTCGGCCGCATACCGGTCCTTTTGCCGCAGGAAGGCCACAGGGTGGTCGCGCCAGTGGCGGCGCGGGTTCAGATGGTGCGAGGTGTGATAGCCGTCATTGTAGCAGAAGCGGTTGCTCTAATCATTGTGAGCACGTAGTCAGAACCGAAGAATAATTGGGCCATACCGCTACATCAATCAAGGTGATGCTGGAACGAAAGTCGCTGTTGGGATCCGTCTCGTCGACAAACGCATGCTGTCCCCAGTTCCCCACCATGAGACCCACGCGCAGCTGCAGGAACGGGAGAACAAAGACAAACAGCGTCGCTCTCCAGCTGACGTAGTTCCAAAGTAGATACATCATCAGATAGCTGCTGAGTTCCCAAAAGGCTGCTTTCAGGCCCAACAGAGTCTTTCCCTTGCGCAGGAAGTACGTGGGCAGCTCCAGCCAGATGAAGAGGTAAAAGCGGCCGATGTAGCAGGCGAAATCGGCGAGACTGTCACGCTGGTAGCGGATTGTTGAAGACAAATCATCCGGTCCGTTGCCTTCGACATGGTGATGCTTGACGTGATGGTAGAAGTAGGAGTTCCAGGTGTGGCCCATTAGCGGATCAGTGATGTAGGGGAACAGGGTGTCAAAGAGCCAGCAGTGACGCTTATTCAGGATGCCGCCCATGTGGATGTGTTGATGCATCATCAGGGTATAAGTGCCCACATAGTAGGACTGCATGATCCAGTGCAGCACGCCATGGACCCAGTGGAAGTTACGGAAGAGATAGATGGCACTAGGCACAGAGGTGGTGAAGTACAGCAAGAGATGCGTGAGCATGACCACGTCGGTGTCCACCCGGACGATGGACCGCGCGGCCTTTATATACGGTTGCAGCAGCCATGCATCCAGTAGCGGAGGCAGCTTGATGTCCTTCAGATCCCAGGTAAAGAAGATGGTAGGGACAAAGTCGGCATGCCGGGGGTCATTGAAGGCCTCCAGTTGGCTGACGGTCGCGTCGGCATCTGATGGGACGGGTGTTCCACCGGCTTTAGTGGCAGGAGAAAGTTAGCATGAAACCCGGAAGAGCAGTGGCAAGGAAGTTAGTTGACGGCGGGTGAGAATGTACATGATTTGGGCTTTTCCGGGGTGGATTGGCTATCGAGCAGCAGGTTATCGAGGACCAGTCGATCGGGCGGGGTCAGATAGGGATCGATAAAGGTGGAAGGGTCCATGGCCAGCAGAACAGGAATAATCTCCTGGAATTGGCGGGAAGCAAGGCACGTTTGGACAGCAAAGCAAATGGAGGTTCCGGCCCAAAAATTCCTTTTGGAGTGACAATCGAACAAGCTTTAACGGACCGCAGAAGAAAAAAGGGGGTGGGGCTGACAGCATCGGATGAGCTGAGACGATGGCAAGTATCTGCCTAGCATGTTATCCGACCCATCCCCGTGCTTTAAAAATCGGATCAGTCCATACGCACATACCCTGGCTTGTTCTTAGCTTAGCGTGTTGCTAATGAAGATTTAAAGCCAGTGGTGGTGGTGGATGTGTCTCTGCCAGCTGTGCCTGGGGACAGCAACCATGGGTGGAGATGGTGGGCCGAGAGCATCCATGACGAGCACATTCATCCAGGGCAGCTCAGCTGCTTCCTCTCGTGATCGGGTCATGATGTCGACTCTTCCGCCCGTGAGGTGTGACGGAAGATGCACATTCTGTCACATCCGGTTGAGATCTCCAGGGTCTGGCGTCAGATTCGAGACCTTCTGATGGGGGATGGAGATGCCCACTTAGCCGGCGGGGGCCGGAGTCGCTTTTCCGAGAACAGCAAGTGGAAGATGTCTCCCATTTAGCTCCAGATCAGCTCCAGTTAACCCCAGCCTGACTGCCCCGCGTCAATCTATTGGGGTTAGGCAGGTCTATCCCAATGCTTCAATTCAACCGTGTAATTCGGTAGATACACGTCGCGATCAGCAGGATAGCTGAATGTACCTATCAACCCATTGAAGCTCTGTGATCCATCGCACAGGTATCCGCTAGTGGCCTGTCTATAATTAGCAGCAGCATCAATGTCCCGGACAATTCACGAATAGGCGTTGTCTTTGGTGTTTGAGTATGGGATGCCACGGCCAGATGAAGGAAGCTCATATGAGCTTGATTCTTGAAGACACGGAGAGGCAACGTACCAAGCTGCGGGCTACCGCTGCATACCAACCGAGCCCGTCGGGATCACCAGATGCGCTTGACTCGCCATTCACTGCATCCAGCCATCCTGGCAAGTAGCAAAACGGTATCACACCATGTAAACCCAAACAAACCCCAATAAACTCAATTGTCGATAAGATACGTCATTACCCCTCCCATGTGTAACCCAGCCTCAGTCTTCACCTTTAAAACTACCAGCACTTCTTCTTTCCCACACACTATACATCCACATAAACAATAACTGGCACAATGAAACTCACTCTCTTCTCCGCCAAATCATATGACACCCACTACTTCAACCAGACCCTCCAAAGTCTCCACCCTGATCTAACCACCATAACCGCTCACCCATTCGCTCTAACCGCCTCGACCGTCTCCCTCGCTCGCTCCAGCGATGCTATCTGTGTCTTCGTAAACGATACCCTTGACGCTACTGTCCTGCACGCTCTACACTCCTATGGCGTCCGTGCCATTCTCCTCCGCTGCGCCGGCTTCAATAACATCGACCTCCCCGTCGCCGAAGCCCTCGGCTTTTTCGTCGCCAATGTCCCCAGCTACTCTCCCGAAGCTGTGGCCGAGTTCGCCGTGGCGCTGATCCAAACCTTGAACCGCAAGACACACCGTGCCTATAATCGTGTGCGCGAAGGCAACTTCAACCTGGAGGGTTTTCTGGGTCAGACTTTGGCAGGGAAGACGGTGGGTGTGGTGGGATTAGGCCGAATTGGCATGGCATTTGCGAGAATTATGAAGGGGTTTGGCTGTGTTTTGCTGGGAGCAGATCCATTTGGTGGGGAGGAGTTCGAGAAGGAGATAGGAGGAAGTTATGTGGGGTTGGAAGAGCTGCTGGGACAGAGTGACGTGGTGAGCTTGCATTGTCCGTTAACAGAGGGGACGCGGCATTTGATCAATGCAGAGAGTCTGTCAAAGTTGAAGAAGGGGGCGATGGTGGTGAATACATCGCGAGGTGGATTGATCCACACGAGGGATGCAGTACAGGCGTTGAAGGATGGAAGATTAGGTGGACTGGCGTTGGATGTGTATGAGGAAGAAGGGGATCTGTTCTATAATGACCATTCAGCGGAAATCATCCATGATGATACGTTGATGCGGTTGATGACCTTCCCCAATGTCCTTGTGTGTGGACATCAGGCCTTTTTCACGCGTGAGGCACTGAGTGAGATTGCCCAGGTGTCATTGGACAATTTGGAAGATTGGGCGAAGAAGCGATCATGTAAGAATTCGTTGGTTAGAGAGGGGCATTTGTGGGTTGAGGAGGATAAGGAGCCGGTCCGGCTGTAGATGTGAGGCATATCTGATAGCTCAGTCGTACATACCAACCTTGATCTGTAGTAATATACTTGCCAGATTCTATATTACTAGGAGCTGTGTTGGGCCCGCAAGTTCACTAAGCATTCAACTAACCTGCAGATCTCCCTCAATCATCAAGTACGGTATCAGTTATATGTCAGTATTGAGATATCTTCCTCTAGGTTTCCTGTTGATACGCAGTCAAGTTGGTTGCTAAGCGCAATGTTGTTCCCCTGCCCGTGCCACAGCGGCGTTGTGCCCCCTTTGCACCCCTTGCACCTGTCACCTGATGTTTACTTCCATACGAACCCACATATCTTCTGTCAAAATACTCTAAGCCACGCATCCTTACCACTCAAATCAGTCAAACTGTCTCAACGCTGCCGATATCCTCTGCAGGTCTCCATTCTCTCAAGATGCGGGTATACTCAGCTCTAATAGCTTCAAGACTCCCTAGCTGCAGACTGATCGTCAACAGTCGTCTCCACCGCACAACAAGCACAGCGACAACCTCCTCAATTCACATTGATAAATATATTGGCCAATCTGGCCGTCATTATAAAGTTGAACAAGTTCTTCAGGAAGAAACTTCCCCGCCACGTCAGGTTCTCCGTGCAGCGTGAGTAGACCTTGACTAGTACCTTTCGAAATCACTACCTTACTGTCCATTAGCGCTGGCGATAAGAGGTTCATATTGAAGTATATTCACGCGGTTAATTTTGAAGACCTCCAAGACATAAACAACAGGTTACGCAACAATGCCAGCCATGTTCGTCTTCCTCAGGATATCATCCCTGATAAATTAATGTTTGTCTTTGAATACTTCACCGGTCATCTTCTACACCTAGCTCAACAGGACTTGTCTCTACAAACAAGGAAAAGGCTCCTAAAAGAAGGTCTTCGTGCAATTGCTGAAATGCATGATAAAGATATTGTTCATACAGGTAGATCATTGTACCCCGTGGATCAGGCAGCAGCTGACTTTACGTAGACATCAAACCGGACAACTTCTTCGTCAACTGGAAACATTCCGATGATGGCATCACAATCGGGAAAGTCCAGCTTGGTGATCTTGAAGACGCTGTATACATTCCCCCTGGTTCATGTATGCGTGGGAAGCAAGCAGGCAACTGGATGTGGAGGAGCCCCGAAGCGCATGCTAGAGGAAAGGTGAATAAACCGTCTGATATCTTCTCTTTTGCTCTCGTTGTAGGTGTTGTCTCTCTGAAAGGTTCTTCAATTTGTTGACGCGCTAGTAGTGTATCTATGTGGTACATAAGCGGGTCATATTTGCGGTCAGCGACGACGAATTGGATGAGGGCATTGATCGATTAGCCATTGTGATTGAGCGTCAGATCTCATACTTCGCTGACAAAGATGGATTCCATGGATTTCTCGAATGCCTTGATGATAATCCTTGGGCGGCTGTCTTTAATATAACGCTAAATGGATTCAATCAAGAGAATCCGGTCAGACCATTTTTGCTTTGGAAGGGAGTTGACGATGATTTTAAAAGTCTTATCTGTGCCATGACAAATTTTGATCCAAGGAGAAGACTTACGGCACGAGAAGCATTGGCACATAAATGGTTTGACGATGCGTGAGATGAGTGGAGGAGCAATTATTCCCACTATGAGACGGTACATGGTTATTGTTAAACAAATATTTGTTGCGGCAATTACAGAATATACCAGCTAGCCAACTAATAGCTCCCAAAGTGCACATGTCTCTTATTGGGGGCATCCCGGAGAGCCTAATTAAGAAACCACCGTCTGGAAGTATCAGGAAGTCTTTGACCTCAGCGACACTCTACAGAGATACAATGATTGCAGCAATTGCCCGCCCACACTCAATGGGCCTTAACCTTTCAGCTATTCCACAACTCCCTGTTGCATGTCAACTATCAATTAGCAAAGTTGTATGTATCACGTGACCTGGATCTCTGTACCTCCCGCCGTCCATCCCAATCCGTCCCCAATTGCTCTTTGGTTCCATTCCAGTCACTTTTGCTCTGAAGGGCCATGTAATAAAAGCTGGTCTCCATTATGGCCGACAGCGCATATCCATACGACACTAGCATTGTGCGCGAGCTTCTGAAGAATAAGCGGAAGTCCCGCGGCATCCGATCCTGCTTTCCTTGTCGACACCGCAAGGTCCGCTGCGACGGCCAGGTTCCTTGCTCCAGCTGTGTCAAACGCAACCATCCAGAGCTATGTCGTGTGCCAACATCTTCTGAGACCGGGAACGAGGATCATCCTCCTTCTGTCGCCGCCGATGTTCCTCAGGGACCATCTCAGAACTACAATTCAACGTGAGCCGCCTCTCTAGAATCCCCATCCCAAGCTAATACTCATTCCCCAGGAACCTCGAAAATGACAGTTCATCGGTTAACCCAGGTGACGCAACGGCGACCCTCATCTCCCGCTTGGAGGCCATCGAGGAACAAATCGCCTTGCTGAAAGCTGATCTTGTAGCTACGGCGGCGGCGGCGACCACAACCACGCCTGCCTCGCAGCCCAGCCCCCTGACTGACAGCGTTGCCCGACTACCTGGCATGCGTGTTCGACCTGCTAGCAAATCACCTGGCCGGTACGTTGTCGAAGATGCTACAGGTGCGACGATCTACCTCGGTCGACACGCGGACGCACCGCTGGCGCTGGGTTGCCGCCAGACCACGATGTCGGCGATGACGGGAGATCTTTCTCTGCAAGATGCCCTGATCAACCAATGCATGCCGCGAGCATACCCATTCATAAACCTCTGGGGTGCAGACGCAACCGTGAGCGATGTGTGCCAAACACTGCCTGAGGATTCGGACGTGATCCGGTTGGTTGCCCCTTCCCTGTACTTGCTTTCGGCGGATGGGGCGCAATGTGCTAATGAATAATGCAGCTACTGGCAGGCGTACCAGACTAAAGCGTACCCATTTTATCCAGCGCTGGCGGCAATTGATGAGTTTGCGCAGGCGTTGTTCGCCTTCTTGGACCAGCGAATGCTGGCACACGAGGCGACGACGCCGTCGGAGGAGCCAAGCTCGTCTTGGATGGCGCTACTGTTTGCTGTTCTTGCATGCGGGGTCCAGTTCTCGGATGATCCCATTCAGGAGCGCGATTTGCGGTCAAAAGTGCTTAGTAGGTTGACTGTTGTGGCGAGAAAATTGTATCGAATCAAGGCGCTGACTGTGGGCAGTTTGCTCGTCATTTCAATGTCTGCGTACGTCCAACTTCTTTCACCAGACTAACACAGACCAAATTCAGGCCATGGCCTTGATTGGGCACTGTCTGCGAAACAATCTGGATACCAACAGTGCGTGGATCCTCATGGGTAAGAGGACGCACTATTCCTTCTGTTCCCTGCGGCCGTTTTATTGATTGAGGCAGGCGCGACTATACGACTAGCGCAAAGTATCGGGCTTCATGAAGCATCTCCATCTTTGCCGGAGGCAGAGCAGTTTGAGCGAAGCAGATTATGGTAAACTTCCCAAAGACATCGTACATTGCATCGTCTAAATGACTACTAGGTGGGTGCTCATCTGGCAAGACACGTTCCTCTCTTTCACTTACGATCGTCCCCTGGGAACAATAGCGATGAGCTGTCCAATCCCATACAAACATGACACGGATGGTCTCAGCTTCCAGGAATGTGTCTTCGCAATCTGCCATCAGATCATCGAAGAAGCGCGCCAGAAAACCACAGATGGACCGCAGGACCCCTTAGAGAGCATGCGCAAATCCAAACGCCAGCTTGATGGCATCCGCGATGCCGCCGCCCTTTTCCTCGCGGACAAGCGCCGATGCGTCTCGCTACAGGACCATCTCGAGCGATTGGCGCTCGGTGTTCATCTCGGGTATGTGACCTGCCGAATCGACCGGGTATACCTGGATGGCCATACTGGCGCGCCCTTTCCAACTGCCATAGCCGTGGACTGCGTGCAGCGCGCGATGCAGGCTATCGAGAGCTTTCTCGATCTCCACCGATACTCAGCCAGCGTGTGCCGCTCCTGGGCCTTTGTTCACAACGCGGTGAGCTGCGCCATCACGCTCAAAAGCCTCAACCATGTGCCAGTCGATGAGCGGCGCAAGTCGGACCTCCTTGTGCAGCGACTGATAGCTGTGCTTGAAAAGGAAGAGAAAGACTCCGAGTGGTGCGACGACGACACCAATGTGCGCTACTTCGGGCCGTACTCCAGGGCTCTCAAAGCCCTGCGTGAAATTTGCCACAGTACCGGCTGAATACTTGCTAATATTCATAACACGTCTAATATACACTACAAAGTACTTTGTCTATCAACTTATATACACAATGTTTAATAATCAGTCACGCGCGGCGCTTAGCCCGCACATAAAAATTCAAAGGCCGAATGAGCTGGAACTCTGGGTCATAATCGATGGCCTCTTGGCCGTCACGAACGAACTCGTACCTACTCACCAGCTCGCCCAGCAGGACCTTTACCTCCAACAAAGCAAAATTGAAGCCGATGCAGCCGCGCGGCCCCGTTGCGAACGGTACATAGGCGCAGCGGTGGCGGCTTTTAACCTCGTCCGTGTCCCAGCGGTCCGGGTCGAAGCGGAAGGGATCACGCCAGACCTTGGGGTTGGTGTGGATGGCATATAGGGCTGGCACGATGACGCTATTGGGAGGAAGGAGATAGCCGCCGGGAAGGATGACGTCGGTCTTTGTTGTGCGGCCAGGCTGGAAGGAGGCATTGTGCAGTCGCTGCGTCTCCTTAACGAACCGGTCCATGTATGGCAGGCTGTGTGCCAGGTCCGGCGTCCAGGCCGTCTCATTTCGCTCGCCAGCAGGGCCTACAATACCGTATTCCACCAGCTCCGCGTACAGCCGGTCCTGCGTACCCTCGTACGTGACGAGGCAGTAGATCAGCCATGACATGAGCGCCGATGTGGTCGTGAAACCAGCCCCCGTCACAATCAGCATGTTGGCCAGAATTAGGGACGGCGGGAAGTGTGCCCCTGTCTCGTCGACCGCGTGCAACAGGTAGTCGACGACACAGGTGGCAGACAACGCGGCGTCGGCCATGGGCGCGTCTGTGCTGCACGACTCGGCCGTCACCGTGTCGACCTGCTCTTGCAGCAGCGAGTAGATGGTGTGTTGGACGTGGCGCAAACGGGCCGGGTCGCCGAAGGGCATGTGGCGATACCATTCGCCGCGGGCTGTGATTTTCTTGTTGAGCGAGAGCAGACTGGCAATGTTGGTGACGATGGGGTGCAGCGGGCTGTCGACGGCGTCGAAGTGGCCGAAATCCTTGCCGAGTGAGAAGCGGCCAATGGTCTGCGATGCCAATTTTACCATGTACTGATAGACATTCCAGGACTCGTCCCGGACGTCCAATTCATCGAAAACCGGCAACGACTTGCGCGCGCACTCCTGCATCAACCCCGTGTAGTGCCGCACTGCTTTGGGCCCCATAGCTGGTGGTAGGAACTTGTGCGCCAGCCGCCAATTCTCCGTCTCTGTGTCACCGATAAAGATGGCTGTGTTGTCTTTGACGCCCCAGAGTGGGTGATCGGAATTGATCTTCTTGGTCATATACGCTGACTCGGCGAAACACGCTGCTGCTACCTGCGGATCGTCCGTCAGGTAGATCGTCTTGCCCATGTTGGTAGTCTTGATTACAGGGCCATATTTGCGGAACAGCCGGTAATGATTGCCAAGGTGGTCCGGATAAATCTCGTAGAAGCTGCCAACGAGCGGGAGGCCTGGCGGGCCCTGGGGTGCCTGCACGGCGTTACCGTCGATGCGCAGGCCGACGGGAGAGGTGGACGTCGCGGCCGCGAGCACCTCGGACACCGTCTTCAAGGTATCATTAGAGGAGGTGTGGAAAGAAATGCCGGTAGGCTGAACAACGTGGAATACACCCCCGACTGCGCGTTGGAGGTCCTCGAACTTCCAGAGGGTGTCCACTTCGAGACACTGCGCTGTGGCGACGGCTTCGCCTATGAGGTAGAAATGACACTGCATGATGTAGGGGAAATATGGACTGCTTCAGGACAACATACCAGGTTCTTTGGCAAGGGTAACCTTTATATTCGATTGAAGGCGAGAGTTGGCCTTTGCATCTCCAATGTCTGCTTGGAGTCGCGTTAAGGGCCACCTTCTGGCATTCGTACGAACTTCGCGCGAACTTCGGCCCAGGTCTCAGCTATGTTTGCACGGGTAGCCGGAAACATCACACTCAGGATGTGAATGATATGTATATAAAATCCCTGTCTCTGCGAAATAAACCAGTCTACAACACACAATTCACCATGGCGACTTTCACACTGGAGCAGGTGCAGAAGCACAACACGGCCGACGACCTCTGGATTGTCCTCCACAACAAAGGTCGGTCACTTTACTCTTTTGCCTTCGCGGGGTATGGAAGTTGACCGTCAATGTAGTCTACAATATTACCAAGTACCTAGAAGACCATCCCGGTGGAAAAGAAATCCTCATCGAAGTTGCCGGTACCGATGCCACCGAAGCGTTTGAAGAAATCGGCCACTCGGACGAGGCGCGCGAGCAGCTCGAGCCCTACTTTGTTGGCGACTTGCCTTCAGAGGTAGTACAATCACCCTTGTCCTCAACACGTACCCTGACTTGTCTAGGAACAAACCGAGGCTGTGGAGATCTACCGTCCAAACTACCAACAAGTATCACAGTCCGCTGTCATCAACGTGAAGAAGACCTCTCCATGGGGATTCCTTCGCACGGTAAGCAAGCTCGGATTGGGCGGTCTCGTCGTCACAGCCATCGTGACAGTCTATAACCGAGGCATGACACCCTCACAAGCCCTCCAGGTTGTGCAGCACTCGGTGCTTTCCTTCACCCAATTCCCACGAGGTGCCGATTTGAATAACGCCAGCCACTTCTGGTTAGGTGCAGGCCTCGCCAGCATCGTCCAATTCTCCGCCACACTTGGCCTAGGCCTATGGGCGTCGACGAAACTAGACGTTCAGCAAGAGTTCACGCACTATGCCTCACATAGACCATCCAAGCCCGCGCATCTGATGCACCTTTCTAAGACAGCCACCATCCCGAGACCGAAACCTCTCGACCCGCGACAATGGCGACCCTTCACCATGACCCAGAAGACAGAGATCGCCCCGAACGTATACCACATCATATTCTCCCTACCAAACCCTGACGACATCCTCGGCCTCCCGACAGGACAACACATCGCCCTGCGTGCAACAATCAACGGCACCAGCGTAGCACGCTCATACACCCCCATATCGAACAACAACGACCGCGGCCGCATCGAGCTCCTCGTAAAAGCCTACCCGCTGGGCGCTATGACGCAGCACCTAGCGCAAATGAAAATAGGCGATACCATCGAGATCCGCGGCCCCAAGGGCGCCATGCAATACTCCCCACGGTATGCCAAACACATCGGCATGATTGCCGGCGGCACCGGCATCACCCCTATGTACCAGCTTATCCGCGCCATTTGCGAAGATCCGACAGACACTGATACATGCATCTCTCTTTTGTATGCTAATAATACCGAGGAGGATATTTTGCTTCGCGCAGAGCTGGAGGCTTTTGCTCGTAATCATCCGGATAGGTTCCAGGTGCATTATGTGCTCAGTAGGCCTGATGATGGCTGGACTGGGTACCGAGGGTTTGTAAGTGCTGAGCTTATTCAGAAGCATTTGCCTGTTGCTGGACCGGATAACAAAATGCTGCTGTGTGGGCCGCCGCCGATGGTGGGGGCTATGAAGAAGGTGTTGTTAGACTTGGGATGGACTATGCCTGGGGCGGTGGCGAAGGCTGGGGATCAGGTGTTTTTGTTTTGATAGATTAATTGAATAACTTCAATATCACGTATATATCTTATTTAATAGTCGAGCCACCAAGTCGGTCGATAAACCGCTTTTCCGCACGTCATAGCACCAAACCCTAGCAATTCTGTATAATCCTAATTAACTTGTCTCTGACTCTGACTACCATTTCCCCCAATTATCGGGAGAGCTATCCAAAAACTAAGTATACCGTCTCCTCCAGTAGTAATCACAAGAACTAACAATACACAGAACTAACCCTCATTATAGCCCTGACAGCATCAAGCATCCCATTAATTCCTAACTATTTGACCGGAACCCGGCACAACAACGGAGAAAAAATCTTCTCAAAACCCCCAATCTAGTAAGCTGAACCTGCCGTTAACCGAAATGTCCCATTAATCACGATCCACTATGCAGAATGCCATATGGAGTTCCATAGTTATCAGAATCTGGGTTTGGTTTTAGACTGGCTTATACAACTCTCCGAACTGTATCCGTTCCGAGTCCGAGGGTCTCCGAACGGTTTCCGTTGTGGGTTTGGAGGGTTTGGTTTCGGCTTCTCGGCATCAATAGTGGACAAGGACTATATATGTGAATTTTCTAGTTTGGATTGGAGTTTATGGTACTGGATACCTGGTAGTAGACTGTATATATAAGATGTCTTTTTATCGCATGGATAGATGGTTCCTGTGCTGTGCTGTGCTGTGCTCCGGTTCTATGCCCTTAAATCATATCCATCTATTTTATATCCTTCCTTACTATACCTCATTATTCAATATACAATGAACACAATGTGTACTACGGCTACTACCATCCCTCACCCCTCCAAAGCCCGTCCTATCGTCATCATTGGCGCGGGCATTCTAGGTCGCCGCATCGCCGCCGTCTTCTCATCTGCCGGCTATAGCGTGCACATCAGCGATCCATCGCCCTCTGCCCTTGACTCTGCAAGAACTTACATCTCGACGCACATCCACGAGTTCACTACCCATATCCCTCGTCCTTCTTTATCTCCGGGCCGAATCTCAACCTTTACCTCCGTCCCCGAAGCAGTCGCCACAGCCTGGCTCATCGTCGAAGCCGTTCCTGAGATCCTGCCCATAAAGCAATCCCTCTTCGCAGACCTCCACGCCCACAGTCCAGCAGACTGCATCCTTGCATCGAACAGCAGCAGTTACAAATCCCGTCTCATAGGCGGTCATCTACCACTGTCACGACGGGTCCTTCTGCTCAACATGCATTTCACTATGCCGCCGGCTATCCGTACCGTGGAGCTAATGACCTGCGGGGATACGGACGAGCGGGTATTCCCCATGCTCAGTGGGGTGTTGAGTGAGTGTGGAGTTATTCCGGTGACGGCACGGAAAGAGTCCACGGGGTTTATCTTCAATCGTCTCTGGGCGGCGATTAAGCGTGAGATTCTGATGATTTTGGCGGAGGGGGTGAGTGAACCCAAGGAGATTGATCTGTTGTGGAGGGAGATGTTCGGTAGGAAGGAGAGTTTGCCGCCGTGTCGGTTGATGGATGCGGTTGGGCTGGATACGGTGGCTGATATTGAGGAGAATTATGTGCGGGAGAGGGGACTGGATGGACAGTTGACGGTGGATTGGGTGAGGGAGAGATTTGTGAGTGTTGGGAAGGTCGGGAGGAAGGCTGAGGGATTGGGAGGGTTGTATCCTCCTGACTCTACTGAGGACGTGAATGGGGAGACGGAGGGAGAAGGGCCTCTGCTCTATCTTCTTGATGTTGGGTTGGGAGCAAATACACCTGATATCGAGAAGGTTTCTACCGCTGGGAGGATACTGAAGTTCCAGCCGGGCACCACTGGCATGCCCGTCCCCATTATCACAGGCCAGTCTCTCCCCGATGGAATTGACGTGTCCCAGACGGCAGGACGCATTTTCTGGACGAATATGGGGCAGTCGACATCCACGCACGACGGATCCGTGCACTCGGCGACACTAGATGGCCAGAATATATGCACCCTCCTCCCAGCAGGGACAGTGCATACGCCAAAGCAGCTTGTTGTCGACGACACAACGCAACACGTGTATTTCTGTGATCGCGAAGGGATGAGCGTGCATCGGGTGAGGTTTGACGGCACCGGTCATGAGGTTTTGGTACAGACAGGAGCACTTGATAACACCGCCCACCGCCGGGATATGACGCGGTGGTGTGTAGGGATTGCATTGGACCGAAAGAACAGACATGTGTATTGGACGCAGAAGGGGCCGAGTAAAGGTGGGAAGGGCCGGATATTCCGTGCTGGCTTGGACGTGCCGGCTGGACAGACGGCGGACTGTCGGGATGATGCTGAAATGGTGCTGGAGGGATTGCCGGAGCCGATTGATCTGGAGTTTGACGAGGAGGATGGGATGCTGTATTGGACGGATCGGGGGGAGCATCCGTGGGGTTGCTCATTGAATAGGGTCAAGGTTGTTGGCGGTAAGGTGGTGGTGAAGTCGAGGGAGATTCTGGCAAGGCATTTTAATGAGCCTATTGGGTTGAAGGTGGATAGGAAGGGAAGAAAGGTATATGTTGCTGATCTGGGAGGGAGTGTGTATTGGGTTGATTTGCAGGATGGGGAGAAGAAGGTGGTGTGCAGGGATGAGGGGTGTTATACTGGGGTTGCGTTGATTAGTGCAGCAGAGAGGGAGTAGATGCTCATTTGGGGGGTTATATGTTCAATGTGGTTTCGAAGACGATAGACATGTATTTTTGTTTAGTACTCATGTTTATACTAAAATGCACTGACAGCTGCTTTTGTCTATCACTCGTATTATATATATTATTATTAAACTCAACAGACTTTTGCTCTCCTTATATACAGTACAACATTCACTCCTTCATTAAATAGCATCCTTAGCCAACGCACTACTCTCCAGCGCAATAGCCTTGGGCCCAGTATAGCTGCCCTGACGAATAAACCAGAACAGCGCAATGAAAATAGTGAACCCGCCCGTGATCAAACACGTGTAGTTCATCGTCTCAGCATCCACAGGCATCGAGAAGGGGAAGCAGAAGATAACAATGAACACGATCATGTACAGACAAGTCACCGCGTTAACAAGGTATCCCGTGATGCCACTCATCCAGAACCAGCCGCGGGGAATGCCCTGACGACCACGAAGAAGGTGCGGAAGAATAGCAGCGGAATAAGACAAGGTGGTCAGGACGACGAAGGAGCTGACGAAAGCGCTAAATGCAGTGGAGTTACCGACGTAGATGCAGCCGAGGATGATCGCAATCAAGCCGCAGACGAGCACCGAATTGAGAGGGTTCTTGAAGCGGTGGTTGACCCGACCCAGGTAGCCACTGAAAGGAGTAGCGCGGTCGCGCGCCAATGTCCAGAGCACACGGCTGGAGGTGAGGTAACAGCCGACGATGGCGACGAAGAGCGGGAGCATGGAGACGATGATCAGTCCGAGAGAGCCGCCGCGGGTGCCGGTGATTTGGAGGTAGATTTCGGTCAGAGGGAAGAGGTAGGGGGCTTCGAGAACGGCGTTCAGGTCGGTGATACCGTAGAAGATGACAATCAGGTAGAGGAAGGCTGTGAAGAAGCCCATCACGTACTGAGCCAGCATGCCCAGAGGAATGTTCTTCCCCGGTTTGGGCACCTCCTCGGCCAGATGGGAGATGACGTCGGGCGTGCCGACGGCGAAGGCACCGTTCAGCATTCCCAGACAGAAGACGAAGCCGTCGCTACTGTATCCAGCCTCGTTGAGCCAGTCGCGCCAGACGAAGTCGTCTGTGGCGTACGGCTGTCCGTTGACATGGGGCATCACGGCACAGACAATGACGGTGACGAGGAAGCCACCGACAACGAGGAATCCGCCTAGTGATTCTATCATGGGGAGTGCACGATTGGCGAATGCAACCAAGAAGCAGCAGAGAATGGAGCAGATCAAGTAGGCGATGAAGACGTGCCAGCGCTCGATGGTATAGTCGGGGTGGAACAAAGCGTATGCGGACACGACCTGCGTGCCCAGAATCTGTGTCGTCGAGGCAGCACCGAAGATCCAGGCCAGGAAGTTCCACCAACCGGCAAACCAGCCGCAGACGCGACCGTATCTTCCTGCTGTGACGGATGCCCAGTGGTAGACTGCAGAGATCAGTTTCTTGTTCCGAGTGTATGCAAGGTAAAAGACGAACCTCCACCAGATGACGGCATAGACGAGGCCAGTTCAGCGAGAGATGCAGCAATGAACCAGTAGAAGAATGAGGCTGCGATCCTAGAAGAACGTTAGCATTTACTCTGGGGTACAATGACTATGACAGGGAGCATACATCTCATAGATCACACCGGGCGGACCTCCATCATAGATAGCCGTGACCTGAATAGAAGGAAGTGTCAGTTATGAGACGGTCGGAGACAAGCAAATCTAAAGATGACGAGATCTATAGAGCAAACCCAATGGAAGAAGCCACTCACGATACTCCCACCCAGAGCAATCCAGGTGTTTCCGCTGGTCAGAGCCAAGCCACAAATGTTAATGAAGCCAAAGTTGCGCTCGAGCTCCTGTTTATGGCCAGAAGCATTGATCGGCACATCCACAGTGGATGGACTGTCGGAATGTGGTAAATCGGTGGCCACAACACCATCGACCTGCTGCTTGGGCTCGTGCTCGAACTCCATCGTGCTCGTCGATTCCAGTCTTCACTTCAGCACGCAGACATAGAAAAAGACAGGGATGGAGAGATGAGCAGGGACAGATTATGTGGAAAGATCGAACAGGAGCAGCAGCAGCAGCAGAAGAAAATTTTCCGAGCTAAAGCACGATTAAAATGCTGGACTCAGAACCTAAATTGCCATTTAAATGAACTCAGTTTTCCTGCATGACTGATCGTACGACGAGGGGGAAGGCCAGTCACTAATGCATGCGCGATCGGAGGCCAAGAGGCACCGGTTGCCAACGACGGGACGCGATAGTCGAAGTGTGGATGGAACCGACTGTTAGTCCCTGCTTAGTTCAATGCTAGTGGTCGGACCTGAAAGTTTAATTGATGCGTTGTTTAGATTGTCTGGATATGAACTTTGCCTGGAGGCAGGGATCGACATGGTTCCGGGGGTCGGAATGCAGGAGTCAGACGGGGAGAGAAAGGATCTCGAAATTATGAAGGCGAGCTTATCGATCAGGCACGAGGGTCAGGATCGATCGATCTGTTGTTCCTGCATGCAGATAAACTAATTATGCTTTTATCAAGACATTACTCCTCTGTTTCTATTGTTCTTGTCAGAGTACAACCGTATGCGGTCTTGATGCAGCACTACGCCCTCCATATTGTGAATTGAGCTGTGAGAGACGAACTGGTCCAGAGATTTGACCTCACATATTAGATGCAACAAGTCAATAGCACACCGGCAATTATGCTGGCCAGTGATCACTTGCTTCGACATCAATCGAACAGCGAACCCTACATCGCTATCCCTTGCGGACAACTCTGGCGGGAGGTTTTGCCACATCATCCGCGACAGCGGACAAAGCTCATCGACTTGATAAGCTGAAATGCATCAACAGAGATCTTTTATCCCTCGTCAAGTATGATGGATGATACATGCTGATGGAAATGCTATCCGCCCGATCGACTATTCCAAGGTGATATTTCAGCTGCCGAACGGTCGTCCTTCACTCTGCTTGATCTGAAGCCATGGGTATACTCGCTGCTGAGAACTACATTGGCGACCAAGAGATGAGACTCACGAGACTCCTATAATAGACGAAAGTCTGAGCCCACACCAGTCCTCGATCCTCAGGCATTCATGATGCATCCTGAACAGTTGTGATGGCGAGGGAACAACGCACTCAACACCCTACCGGTAAAATGTTAGCCAGCCACTCTCACTGCCAAGCAGTCCAATAAATCCCATAGCGAGGCTAATCAATTTGACACGAAGCTAACCATAAGGCTAGTCTTGAGACCAAAGAGGCCGGTCTGTTTCCACCACTAGACTAGCCCAATCCACCCTATGTAACCGTGAAAGTCTGCCTACAACCGAAAGCAGCACGCACAGCACTACTTATCAACAATCCTCAGCCGATCAACCAGCATCACCACCCTCATCATGATCACACCACTCGCCCATCAGGACCATATATCCAAAGTCTGTTATATCCGTGGACCAACAATCCAAGCCAAGCACCCAAGGGCCGTCCGGACCGAACCCCTGAGCACAGATCAACCCGGGGCAGGATATCCGCTTAGCCAAACCAATTTGTCACCGCGGTCGGCCATCATCCGCGATAACCACTGAACTAAGTTAAAACCACGCATGAAGTTAAGAAGACGACTCCACTTTCAGCCAGGCAACCCTGACAGTGGAGGAACATGATTCGCCCTGCCTCAATGATTTAGATCGTTCGTTAAGCTTGCTAAAACGCTGCGTAAGACAGATGCTGGGCTAGTGGAGTTCACTTATCCTCCGCGGTGGAGACATGAGTGCGTTCCGACACGCTAACATTGAGACTGGTTGAAGTTTAATTCATTGCTTTGGATTCTGGGCCTGGTCTATTGGTGTTTGTGTTCTAATGGCCGGGATGGTCGGATATTGGTTAGCGAGGGTTGGGTCTAGAGCACAGGGCTGTAGGGAGGAGGTCTCTCTGTTGAAAGCTTGTGGAGGTGTGCAGAGATGAGGATTGGTTTAGCGATCGCGGGATTGGATTTGGTTTCTGCAGCTAGGGAGGTCATTTCGGTTAGCTGGTGATTTCTCGAATGCTGTAGAGATACGCTTCTGCTCACTGATTGAGATTCGATGGAATGGCTCTCACAGAGTGAAGTATACCGAGGAAAGCTATTATTATATAGAAGCCGTCAATGACAGACATAAATACTAGTTTTTCAACACGATATATATCATCAACATGATACATCTCACCATCATTCTGCTCCACGTAATCAAATGGATATATATCTGTTTCGATCTACTTGGACATAGGAGTCCTGGCATCGTAACCATCTGCAAGAATTTCAGCACCTCCCTTACACAATGTTTGATGAAGAGGAATACACTGTCGAAGTGGAATCATTCCTCACAATGAAGGCTTTATCACGAGAAAACTGCAAAGAACCAAACGGACCCATTTGCTTAGATCCCCCGGGTGGGAATCCTATGGTGGCTCTATGGCCAGGGAAACAGGTTGTGGGAAGTTCTGAAGCATCGAAATAGTATCTCTGGTCAAAGCTGCTCTTCCCAGATTACATTCAGGGGATATAAACACAAGAGTCAGAAGATAGGCGTTTCATTCCCTCGTGAGGAAGGTCCTGGCGGTGCCCGCAGCATCTTTCAACATGCATCATACTCTTCAATCACATCCCCATGATCAGCACTCGATGCCATGTTCAGCTGGATATACTTTCAGTTCATAGCAGTCTTGTATGACGGAGTTCGCTGGATCATACGTCCTGATTAGATCGTTTCGCTCATCCAGAGATATTGGGCTTTCAAATCATGGTAGTGTATCCTCTTCAGGCTTGCATCTTGTATGAAGACCAAAAGCTCGCGCGGGAGATATCTCTGATAATCACAAATAAATGCTTGTGGTATTCAGACCAAGCTCTGCTAGATGCGAAATAACATGTATAACTTTGAGGTTGGTTTTCATCATGGATACTCCCCTTACTTGGTTTGGCAACACTCGACAAATGACACGGATATCCGTGTTCATATATGGTATAACACTTGGCGAGAATGTGAACAGCTATTCAATCCATTCACGGGATTCAGACCTTCTTGGGATTGACAGGCTGTCTGTCTCATGCAAGGTAAATAGGCGACTGCAATTTGCGCAGGCTAGCTGATATGGGAGACTGCTGAAGATTTCCCTGTTGCTGTTCCACGAGCCTTATATAAATGGCACTACCTGGTAGCTTATCTTTCATAGTGGCTTGGTCGAGGATAGACAAGAATTATTGCAAACGAGGGATGAAATTGATGGCATTTTTGTGCTTGTTCTGGATTAACTATGAGGCAGTGAACAATGGAGCTCTTGATTGATATCGCAATGGTAGAGGTTTGCGCTATTGCGACTCACTATAGACACTGTGACGAGTCCTCGCGTACATTCAGAGTGATTAGCACATGTCTCGCTGGACATATCTCAGCGCCATCTTGCATAAGCGATGGCTGGACAGAGCAACAGTACTATTGAGTGAGAAGTTGCAGTGATCTGAGGCAGGCAAGCAAACGCGTCTAGTCCATGCGTAGGCAGAATACATGTGAATGAAGCCTTTGCAATGGGTGACTACAATGGGCCAGTCGAGACAACGATACCCTGGCAGCCGTTCTGTCAGCCCTACTGTCATGTGAACGACAGTCGATGACATGCCTAGAGACTAGCTGAAGGGCTGTATCCTAGTCTACATCTTTGGGCAGAACACAACGGCGTCATCCAAATCGATTGCCACGATAGCCTACGACACCAAACACCGTGCACGTCCCGATGGATAACAGCTATGGTCATCACCTCCGCGCCATATGTCCTGGCACGGACTATGAACTCTCTCACACCCTGGATGACTTGTCGCAGGTTATCAAAGAGGACATACCCGCGATAGCCCAGGACTCATACGTGTCAAAGACTAGGAGCCAGCCGGATATGTGAACTACCTGGCCGGCATGACTGGACGAGTAACATGCCAGGCAGATGAGCAGCATGCGGCCGGGCAGGTCCGGAGCAGGCTAGCTGCAGGATGCGGGGTATATACACACCCATCAACTGGCACCGGGCCTTGAAGCTTATAGCGGTGACAGCTAGATGTAAGACATCACTCTTGGACGGAACAGGTCAATGCTCAATGAACCTGACCTGGCTGGATCCCGGTATGCTTCCTGCCTTGGTCCCGAGCCCATGGCAGTTCTCAGATGACGCACGGATTGCATACTGGACGGCCGACACGTGTCAGTCTGCCCGCGCGTCTGGATGCGTGCAGATCTAGCTTGTGGTCAATGCCGTTGAGACAAGGCACGGCCAGACTCGGGACATTGACAGTGTAGACTTCGTATCGACAGAAATCGGAACAAAAGAGGGGGCGGTAGTTCACGCGTGACTCAGTATGGCTGCAGACACCCTGGTTGGCAATCTTCCGAGCGCAGCGGTGCTTCTTTGTCAGGCTGAGCCTGTTCGGCCCGGTCGATGGCCATTGTGGTTGATGGATCCATGCTTGACTCCATTGACGAGGGATGAATGTCAGTCAGTCAGCTGTTAATTGGCGATGACAGACTGCGGGGTTCCTCCGATCTTATCTCCAGATACCAGGTATGCAGCAGAGAGATTCTTAGATGTGTTATCGGCCGATAGATACTCCACCGCGCTGGATCATCAGCATTGAGGACAGAACAACTCACCGTGCGGCCCGTAGGTGCATGAGTCCTCAACTCAACAGCAATGCATCCATCCATATCTCACGAAGAGCAAGAGTGGTGATGTCACCTGAGCTAGCGCTAATGGCGGCCAGACGCGGTTGGCAAGTGTCTCTCATAGATGGAAGAGGGGCTGCGGTGAGAATCAAAGAATGAGTGAGGGGTAACTGGAAGTCACCCCGCCATTGACGCTTTGGGCACCAACAAGCAGCCGTAGAGCAGTACAGCCTTGTCTAGACTGCATTCGATGTGGACTGTAGACCCTCTGTTAGTTAGTGACTATTCACCGGTCGCCTGCAGAACAAAGCACGCCATTCAGCCATTTGCCCCTAGCTGAGAGGAACTAAATCGAGTGGATTGATACTGGGTAGATAGACTAGCCACCGCCACAGCGACGAGCAACAGCACTAATCCCTGCCGGTCACGAGACAGATCCAACGCCTGAGGAAACCAACTCGGACTAGTGCTTCCGCGTCAATTCCAAGTAAATTAGTTCACTTCCGATGGCTTGACAAATCCAATATGATAATCCACGGCAAAGAATAGGAGCTCGCCTACGTATCTACCCTCATTTGCCGCCGGAACATCCATCTCGATCTCGATCTAGATCCCGTCTTCTCGGTTGCGGGAATTTACTGTATGTTTCTTGTCAAAGAATCACTGTTCATGTCCGAAGGCGGCGATACTGTCGCCATCAAGGAATAGCGGGGCTCTGGTGGCATTCGTGGCGGGGTACTAGTATATTGCATTCCAGGGAGACAGGGATGTGTCTAGTAGCTTGGATGCATCGTGTCCGTGCTGATGAGTTGGTCACTGGGATTCAGCTTAATTCTTTGGCCATCATCTGGGCAATGGCATGTGATGGTATCTGGTATCGATCCCAGAGATGTGTATTTGCTCTCGTAAGTATACAGGCGGTAATCGATGGCTTCTTATCACCGACAAGACTGTATCAAAGTAACTGAATGATCGTCTCTGCCCTTGAACAATATACAACTAAATATGTATTAGTATTTCGCTTTCTATTCCACCAATCCCCCGGGGAAAATATATCCATACTAGCCTAGATAACACTTCCTAGTTATCACCACTGCAGCCCAAAACCTTCCTTGCTCCTTCACACTCTCATCCTTCGCTAGCTAGCTAGCTAGCTACCTCCCTCCCTCCCTCACAACCAAGTCAGAAGCTTGAGCACAGATACCCCAAGACACCGTGCGCATCATCAAAGCATCATTTCGTACCTTTTAACCTTCCCGAGATGCGAAGAGAAAGGGTAGTAGATTGGGCAGTAGTGGAAGGTTTTGATAGCCAGCCTTAATCGTATACCTTTAGGTTTTGACTTCGCTTGGGGGAGGGCGGAAGGGAACTTTGAGGCTCTAGGTGCAGTGATCAGCATATTCCTTTCCACTGGTCAGTAGAAGGTTGCTTTATTGAGCGCCAGCTTTGGTTTTCGTACTTTATTTATGCAAATGGTGTGTGGTGTGGTGAGGGGGGTTGGGTAGGTTTGAGATGTGTACAGTGTAGTCAGTCAATTTAGGCGGGTTAAACTGTTACTGGTAGTAGTAGTAGTAGTGCTTGTGTTTATTCTATTTGCGAACGACTATTGTTGTTTAGGACTTAGGAGCATTAAGTTATAGTTTTTCTGCTACTACAGAGTATTACTATCTGAACTAATTCATATCGTAGTCGCGTTGGAGGGGTAACAGCCTTGATTAAGTTCCATCTCAAGCAAGTTGTATATATTTGTGCTGCGAACCGTTAATAGTGCCAGTGCATATGTATGCACAAGTGCAAGTCCCCTGCTTAGTTGATATAGGTTACTATGCATCCAAATGGAGAATTAGTAGGAATTAGAATGTATTCCATCTTCTCCCAGACAAGCAAGGGAACGTTAATCCAGGTCTACTGTGAAGGACACTGAAAGCCAACCGACCTAACCCGATCAGGATCCGGATGCATCGGATGAAGCAGCGACCCAATAATTGGGCTGCAGTTCTGCAGCGGACTAAAATCTCCTTGTGATGGTTACAAAAAGACCCCCCAAAACAGAATGAAATATTCGGCATACGTTAACCTCAAAACAAGATGGTGTTTCACCGTTAGAAGAAACAACAGCCAAGCACATACGTATACTCGACTCTATTTTAAGGTTGTAAACAACAAACAAACATCCACGAGTGGTACGAAAGTCAACCCAGACTACGCGGTCCCAGTCTCCATCGCAAACAATGGTTCGCTGCCCCGGCACTGCCTATCTACAGAGCAGAGGACTTATCTTAGGCTGGTCTGGTCTGGTCGGCTCGGCTGTGTCTAGTAACTTTAGCCTAGTGGCAGTGAGTTGTGGCACGTATGCAACATCCACTTTTCTACTGATCGTATCATGTGGACGGTTGGCCCTGGCCCAGACATCCACCGCCAGTGATCTTCGGATCATCGTTGTTCATCGCCCCGAATATTTGCCTTCGAGGGGGCCGGCCGGGCAGGCAATTCCTCGGTGAGGGGCAATTCTCGGGCATGGAGGCTTCGACGAGGGTTCGATGAGATTGCCTGTTTGGGTGGGATCGACGTTGAGCTGTCTGTCCGGCTCTGGGTTGAACCGTGGTTCGCGGTTGGGGAGGATGTCGGGCGACGCGGATGTGGTAGGGTTTGGAGATGCCGAGATTTAACCACGTCTCCTTCTCGTGTGGTTGAGGATGGGGGGAAAGGGACTCGTATACAGTATGGTACCCGTGTTATTACTGATGAGGTGGATATGATTGGTTGATAGTTCCCAACCGTCCAAGAGACGTTGTTTTTGTTTTGCTCTCTTCGTAAGGAAGCTTGATGATAAGGGTTCATCTCGAGATGGGAGGGATGTACCTGGTTGCTGGGACAGGATGAACAGGCCCGTCGGACTCCTAATCTGATGGATCGACTGTTCTTGATGCTTAGCTTGGCGCTTAAACACGGAGTCACCTCAGTTATCAGTTCCCAACGCAGGTGCCTGCTCTGAGTTACACCCGTGTTTGAAGTCTAGCGGTCGATCCGGCGAAGCGCTTAAGCGGCCTGCCTCACGATCGTATCGAATCGCCTCGAAATTGAGATGCGAGCACATTTTCCAGGTGCTTCCATATAACAAACAGCGGTTATAGTTCCCAACTGGCCATAATCCCTGCTCGGCAACCAAACCATCGTCGTCATTTCCTAAGCTGGACAAATGAAGCAGCTAAAGTTCCTGGGTACCTCCTTCGAGCAGGGGAGGGATCCTGGATAGTCAGGTACTAGGTACATCCTGCCACCGCCTCGCACCCGGGCTAGAGCTGCAGCGGCAGGGATGTGCCTCGAGGATAGTTCACGGCCAGGCTGTACGGTGCATGTAAGTCCGCGGATGTCTTACATCCTGAGCTGCACGTCTGCACCAACCAGCAGGCGGCCTGTCAGGAGTGGGATCCTCTACCGATTTAGACTCACCGTAGCGGCTGCTAGACTAAGGCCGACTAGAATATTCGAGGCGGGTTTCAGCTGGGTATAGCACCGAGTTGCACACCGGGGCAGGCAATCAAAATACCGACTTGCCTCGGTCGTGTGCCGCCATGAATAATTTGACAGGCCCAAATCCACGAGGCCAGCCCAATCATCACGGCTTCAATAGTCAGGCGCATCCACCACGGGCGCAGGGGAAGCCGAAGAAAGTCGACAGCGGCAAGTCAAAAAGGCTCAACGGCCGAGGTGCACCGGAAGCGCTAACCCGAAGCGGTACCGAATGTGTCTACACGCGACGCGGTTTGTTGTATCTGTTACATAATCTCCTCGAGGCAGTTTGCCCGACAAAGACACAAAGTAATGAAAGTTATAGTACTACAGTACTTACTAGTAGAGACCGCCCTGGAGAGGCGCCTGGTTCGGGGACTGTCCGTGCTGGCTTGAAGGGGCACTGACCAATGGCAACGTGGCAAGTCCATTTGGACCAATCATAGTCCAGCGATAACGAGCTGCAGGAGGACTCCAATCCGGAGGCGAGGTTCAAGGGATCCACCAGCTTTGGGAAAAGCGGTTCTCCAGTTGATTGGTTTCCACTCCCACCGGTGCAAAGGCCCCATTCTGAGCAGCCATCTATCCAATCCAACTCAAACCCAGTCCATGCTTTCCGTTCCATCTCTGTCCCCTTCACCACCCTGTTTTCTTATCCGATCGGATTGATTGGCACGGGAGACCAGTCGGACACAACGGTCGGTCTGTCACCGCCAGAAAGACGTTGGACTTTTGATGGAGTCTTGCTTGCAAGGGGATGGGGATAGCAGTGGATGTATGTGTGGATGTGTCAATAGTAGTGTACGAAGTTAGTAACTGCACACTGACTCCCCTCCCCGTGATCATTCACCACTGGAGATGGATTGACCATTGCTACTACTTCCGAGGCTTTGGGAAGGGAACACCCATGTACGGGAGAGTAGCTGGTCTCGTGAACTCTTCCTAAGAGAGCAAGTCATCGCGGTCAAGGCGGCCAGTGGGTCTCTACCTCGGGTGGAGTCCGCTTACCAATGAGAGGCCACCCCATTTTGATTTGATGGGAGATTCACCGGTCGAGCGTTCCGTGGTCTGTAGCCGTCGCCCAGAAACGTCTCTCTCTGTGTGTGTCTGTCTCTCCCTGTCTCTCTTTCAGCTGCGACTATTACAAAGTAGTCTATCCGATGGCGGTTGGAGACCGGCTTAGGTGTCCGCTTTTTTTTAATGGAGAAAGCGGACCCTCATTTATGATTATTATTGTGGTACCTTACACAGTAGACTCCCGTGCTTACAGTACAGTTAGTGATATTGGCAGTTGGTGGGTTTTGGATGAGGAGAATAATGGGGACGACTGTGTACATCGTGAGGAGGAGTGGGGGAAGACAATGGAGATCGCTCAAAGAGGAAAGTTATCAGATGCGGGCATTAATCCATTTTCGATGATGTTACCGTGTTCCCAGTACGTGAGGCCAATAAACCTGTTGCCACCAGACCGGGATGCATACTTGATTGCCTCAGGGTCGAGGGTTGGAGAGATGATACAAGGTTGACTCTGGGCCGCCCTGTGCATGCCGCGGGGATGAATGAATCATCGATGGGCGGTATGGAGGGGAAAAAGATACGGAAGATCCTCGATCGAAGGAATGCCCGGTGCGGGTGGGAAAGCAAGAGGCGGTCAAGGAAGGGAGGGAGAGGGTGTGTGTGTATGGTTGTTGTCATCATGACTTTCGGCGGAAGGGGGGGAAAGAATGAATGGATATCGAGTGGTAGTGACTGGTTGGAGGTGCAGCCATCCTCCAGTCTGGATATTACCGTGGACGGGCAGCAGGAGTAACACCGCATTTGTCCATCCCACCCACCCGGTACGAATGTCATGAATCTGCCAAGAACCGGGCAGAAGTAGATAGATGGATGGATGTATTACTTCTTTCATTTTCATATGACTATCTCGGAGTTAATGTCTGTATACAAGGTCGCTAGTATATTGCGTCTCTCGTCATCATTATCCCCATCATCATAATACCAACTATTAAGACAAATCAGAAACACTCACCAGAGTAACACTCCGGCGTAGTATCCGATAATCGTCTAAATCCCGGCTTGGAGATTATCTTTCTTTTCTCAGGGCGGCCTCGGTAAAATGCCGTGCTGGTTTGGGGATAGTCTAACCTGAATCCGTCCGATCTGCTGTTACGGATTGGTAACGCCGGACGATCGGGAAGTCCGTCCAGTCCAAAAACTCCTGGATTTTCCCTCCAGTCCTCGGCTGCGGATTCGTCAGGGGAAAGGAATCATAGTCGAGTAAGAAATATGTATGGGAAAAGAAAAAGAAACATGAACAATATGAACTCTCAGCAAGTCACGATCACATTCTTATGACATCTTGCAGGGGAAAAGGGATGAGGCAGAGCAGGAGAATATTATCCGAAGAAGCAAATAATACTCCTCTCCCCCCAAAAAGTAAAGTAACATCCAATAGTAGTAGATACATCCAGTAAAAGTAAGTAATTGCCCCCCCTGTTTTACTTACTACTGTGTAGGCAGGAAAGTAACTTCAGTCATCGTCACGATCAAGCGTAACTTTCTGGGTGTGAATTGAAGGTCGCCTCCGATCCTCCAACGGCTCCACTCCCTGCCTTTCTTCGGGACTTTCTAGCCTCAACCTAAGCCGCCGTCGGAACTACCTATCGAGTCCAAGCAGACGAGACGGCGCTGCTCGTCGGGTTAATTTAGCGTGTTCAAAGGATGATGATAATTATTATTATCATCGGGGTCTCCATCCACTAGCGCATCTCCACAATGCATGGCAAAAAATCGCCCATTCCCTATTGCCCATTTCCCATTTTCCCATTTTCCACCCCCCTCCCATCCCCGTCCGGCGGATGCCACTTAATAATTCATTCATTCCTGCTGGGAGTGCCTGTGTAGAGTCTCGCTCTCTTATTAGTAGCCCTTCATCGCCCACCATTATCACCTGCTTCTCCCCCCTTCCCCTTCACTCGTCCCGATTCGTTTCGAGTACCACCCACCACACTACTATTACTTACTGATCTCATCTCAACAACTCACTTTCTTATTACTACTCACTTGAACCCGACTATCTCACCCCACGCGGTTCGCTTGTGCTGCAATCTGATTCCCTGGATCGATCTTCTCTATATCGCCTATCTCCAGATCCCAGCGTCATCGCGAACTTTAACCCACCCTTCTCCCGCTTGCCACTGCGATGCCCTTCTGGTTCCATCCAGCTACTCTGTCAATGGCCATTAACTGATCTAATCCTATCTGGTTACTGTTGGCATCATAACCCATCAATTCACTCGACACCCTGCTGCTAGCGATAATTCATAATTCCCTCAACACCCGCTGCTATTAGTACCTGGTCTACTGTCACCTCATCTTCCATTTTGACTTCCATCCTCTCAACCACTCTCCACTCTACCAACACTTGACAACCAACCTCTCCTCCACCATCCACTCAAATCTCTTTCTCAATATTTCAACACCCTCTGATATCATCTCAAATGGCTACCCACGTTGTGACTGCGACTACTACTGCCCCTGCTTTCACTGGCAAGCAAATCTCCGTCTACGGTCACCCTTCTCCTGTCAACTCGGCCGAGACCTCTCCCGCAAATAACTCTCCCACTTCTCCTCGCTATCAGCACTTGCCGCTTCAGTCGAAGCAACTCCGTCCCCTCAAGGGTCCTCTCTACGTTCCTGCTGCCTTGCGCCCCACTGAGCGTCCCCAGAAGGCCTCTTCTCCCCCGACTCCTCCCCGCAGCGTTCACGGTTCTCACGGCTCTCTCGACAGCCTGAACGAGGGCGAAGTTGGTGCACCTGTTACTCGTCGTTCGACCATGGAGAGCTACAACAGCGGTCCTGCTGTCAGCAAGCTGGCAGAGGATGAATGGATGAAGAATGAGCACCTGGGCGAGGTCACTGGTCTTCCCACTCGTGATCACTGGAAAGTAAGTGAAACCACTACTTCAGTCCCTTCTTCCCTGGGTGGACGCGTCTACTATATAGTGTTGTCATGGCGCAAGCCGGGCTCCGGGTCGCGCCATCATTGCGTTGCGCGATATCGCGTGATTGCCATGACGACATCCAGACAGCCTCACAACAATCACCCCTTGCAAAGAAGTGAACTTGTGCTAACAAAACCTCCCAACAGGCGGACTCTGCTTCCCCCAACTGCGACTCTCCTACCTGCCGCTCCTCTTTCGGTCTCTTCCTTCGCCGTCACCACTGTCGCCATTGCGGCCATGTCTTCTGCTCCTCTCACACTCCTCATGTCGTCCCGCTTGATCAGAATGCTCGCTTCCACCCTGATGGAGTTCCATCCCGCGCATGCGACCTTTGCTGGAGCGCCTACCAGCGCTGGGAAGAGTCTCGTACGGAACGCCTCAGCAAGATCCAGAGCCTGCTCGACGCCCAAAGCAGAGCCTCCGACAGTGACAATGAAGATGATAATACCGCCTCCGACCGCTCGGATATCTCGCCGGACGAGAATGCGAAGCCCGCCCTGACCGGAGTGTTGGCCCAGAGCACCGAGATTGCCGCCAGCGTTCCTCGTGGCTGGAACTGGAGCACCTTCTAAACCATTACGACAACTACGGCTGATGAACACCATGTCCATACCACCCATGTCCATTGACACTGACATTGGGAAGCAACTTCACTTCGTACATACCTGTTTTAGAACATATTTTCTGTCGCTTTTCTTTTCTTCGATCTGTTTTACACCGCGTGGGTTTGTTTTCAACGGTTTCGGTCATTGCTTGGAGTTTTCTCGGATGAATTGCGGATTAATGGCTAATGGGCTTCACGGGAGTTCGATTTCGTTTTCTATTTGTGAGCTGCGACAGATCGTCGACAGAGATGCGGGGGGCTTCTTTTCTTAATCTTGTTCTCCTTTTACTACTCAGGATACCCCGTCATGGTTGCTTATGCGCGGCGATCTCTTTGTTGGTTCCTTGTTTTTCGCTTCGTTTTCACGGTGTGTGAAGTTTATGAGTTGTGGAGTTTGACATCATCATGATATGCAATAGACTTTATCCAACCAACCTCTATCCCTGTAGCCCTATCTACCCCCACATGTATGTAGATCAAACCCTCCCATCTCCCATCTTTTCATATATACATCACACACAGTACCTCCTACGGAGAAACGACAGAAATCCTCCTCCACATCCCCACATGCTCAATCCCCTCCTCATCCCACCTCCCCAGCTCCTCATCCGTCTCAAACCCCAACCTTTGATACATCCCCTCAACCTGCACCTGCGCATGCACCAACACCAGCCCCTTCCACTCCACCTCCGTCCCAGCAACACTCTTAAACGCCCCCTCAATCTCCCCCCGGTTCTGCGCCGCCCACTTCAGCGTCTCATCAACCAACACCCGTCCCAATCCATACCCCCTCCACTCCTTCACCACCGCCACCCGTGTCAATTTCACGTATGGCTCGCTTTTCAGATCCCATTCGGGTAGACTGGATGCTGTCTCAGGATGGGTGAGGATCTCGTGCGGTGCATGTGGGGGTGGGACGAGGCGGATTACGGCCACGGGGGTGGGTGTGGGATTGGTGTCCTGATGGTGGGCGTAGACAACCCATTGCCAGCTGCGCGGGTCATCCGAGTCGATTTCGCTCTCCGGCGTGCAGTTTTGTTCGTGGATGAAGACGTCGCGCCGGATGACAAGGGCGGTGGTTAGGGGGTCCGTGGGGGTGGTGAGGGTTGTGGTTGGTGGGGGGACGGTGAGTTGTGTGGTGGAGGGGGGTGGGATGAGGGTTGTTGTGAAGGTTGGTTTGGTTGATGGAGACATTGTCTTTCAAGGGTGCAGAGGTGGTGGGTTTGGAGAGGTAGGTGAGATTGTAGATGGAGGGATGAGTGTGGGATGCGGATGGGGGATAAGCGGGTTTAAGTATAGATCGGACGGAGATGCGGAGATAAGACTATTCCATTATCAGTTTGCGTTGGATTCGGGTTGTGGATGAGGGGGTCAGATGCGATAGGGTTCAACATGCTTACCGTATTATTATGGTGGTATCTAGTCTTAGTGATATAGATAGAATTTCAGTATTTATGATGATTGTTTGTTTGGTACTCAGTTCTCGAAAATGAGTGTAGTTCATCACCTCAGCTATTATCTTACTATCACCTCCGATAGCAACGAACCAAACAGTGCAAACATCAAGTTTTCCTTTTCCATCGCATCGCAATAAAGTCATCGCAACAAACTCCACCATACTACCATGCAATAACCACAACTGTTCACCATCATGTCCCTCTACTACGACGCCGTGTCCATCCTCACGGCCCCCTCCACCTCCGGCGGCTCCTTCAAATCCCGCATCTACAACGCCCGCAACATCAAATCCGCCCCGGCGCAAATCTACGCCTTGATCATCGAAGCCTCGAAATGGGACATTCTCCTCAAGGAAGTAATAGAAGCAGCAGGGATCCTCAAACTTGAACCGAAGGTACATACCTACCTACCTACACCCATCCCTCCCAGCTCCACACCATCCATTCATGAGAATACTAACTAACCAAGCCCCCCAAACATCACAGTTAACTCCCCTCCTCTCGCTCCTCCTTGTCCACGACCACCTCCTCGCCAAATCCGGCCTCGCCGCAAAAGCCACACACCCCCTGCGCCAAACCATCGAGCGGCACAAGACCCGACTACGCGGCGAATTCACCAAAGCGCGAGTGCGGCGCGGATGCGCCACGATCCCGGAGCTGAAAGATGCCATCGCGCGGGAGAAGCTCGCACTACAGGGCGCAGCAGGCCTATCAACAGCAATCTATCCGCGCTGGGTGCGCGTGAACAACATCCGAACGACAATGGAGAAGCAACTCTCCACTACGTTCGCAGGCTACGAACAGGTCTCGTCATTAGCGGAGTTGACTCTCCCGAAGAGGATGGTGCTCGACCCCCATGTCCCGGATTTAATTGCCGTTGCGCCGGGAGTGGAGTTTACTTCGTCGCCGGCATATAAAAACGGGGAGATTATCTTACAGGATAAGGCGAGTTGCTTCCCGGCGTATCTCCTTGTTGGGGATGAGGATGAGGGGTGGGACACTTCCAAAGGACTGTTGGACGGATGTGCTGCGCCGGGGAACAAGACGACGCATATGGCGTCGTTGTTGGCTAAGCAGCAACATACTCATCAAAATAAGAAGGGGAGAACCGCAAATGGGACTTACCACATCTTCTCAATGGACCAATCGCCCATCCGAGCAAAAACTCTCCAGAAGATGGTCTCCACCGCCGGCGCAGACACCATGGTGACTGTCCTCCCGGGGCAGGACTTCCTCGCTCTGGATCCGACCGATCCCCGATTCGAGAACGTCTCAGGCTTGCTCCTCGATCCTAGCTGCTCAGGAAGTGGGATCATCGGTCGGGACGACGTGCCCAAGCTAACGCTCCCTGAGTCTACTACCTCCTCCTCGTCTTCCTCCACTGGGAAAAAGCGCAAGCGCCGCGCCAACGACGAGGACGACACCCACGGAGGAAAGAAACCCCCCACAGAATCCCCCTCGGCAACAGACGAAAACGACGTCCCAGTGACCGGAATGACCGAGGAGCGCCTCATCAAGCTATCGAATCTGCAGACGCGGATTGTCGAGCACGCGCTGAGTTTCCCTGCCGCGACGAGAGTCACGTATAGTACGTGCTCGATCCATTTGTTGGAGAACGAGGCGGTGGTTTCGAGGATCTTGGCGTCGGAGGTGGCGAAAACGCGCGGGTGGAGGGTTCTGAGGAGGGATGAGCAGCCGGTGGGGATGAGGAAGTGGGTGCATAGGGGGATTAGGGAGGAGAGGGGGGTTGATGGTGGTTCTGCTGCTGCTGCTGCTGCTACTACTGTTGATGGGGTTGGGGCTGAAGTGACGCTGTCGGATGAGGAGTTGGAGGGATGCTTGCGGTGTTGGCCGGGGGATGAGGAGGGGACTGGGGGTTTCTTTGTTGCTGGGTTTGTGAGAGATGGGGATGAGGATGGGGAGAGTAAGGAGATTCAGGATGAGAAGGTGGATGCGGATGAGGACGAGGATGAAGAAAATGGGGAGGACGAGTGGGAAGGATTCTCGGATTGAGAGTCATGAGTCTATCATAAAGTAGAGTAAACGGACATGTACAGCATTAAAAGCAAAGTAATGTATAGGTATAGAACGATCAAGACGAAAGGAACTTCCTCTGCTTATTGCGCGTCCTTTGCAACGTAAACACCTCCAACTTCACTGCAATCATGACGATATCCATCCCATCTCCCTTGGCCCTCGGTTGCATGCACAGCCGCCACTGTCCGTTGCGCACAATCCATGGACGATTAATGGAAGCCTCTTCAACGCGCTTGCGCTTCCTCGACGGCTCCTCCAACAAACTTTCCGACCCCGACATGCTCTCCCGGAGAATGTCGGGGAAATACTCCCTTTCCCCATCGACTGTCATGTCGGTATCCATGGAGAGAGAGGCCCACAGACGGTCTTCCGGTGCACTCTCCTTTTGTCCCGCTGGTCGGTTCTGGTCTCCCTTCTTGCCCGCTATCACCTGCAGAAGGCTGCTCACGCGGGCTTTTGTGGCGCCCAAAAAGGTGGGACGTCTGCTGGTGATGTCAAGGATGGTGCTTTCGTCCCCTATCTCGAGGATCAGATCGTACTTCTTATCATCGACAAACGGGCGAGAGTAAGTGACCAAGGCTGCAGACATGGCGTCAGCCTGACTGTGGCCGGGAGGAAGAGGGATGTCGTCTACGTCGATGCCCGACCGACGGACGTCTTCGAGACGGATGACAATCTCGTCCCGTTTGCGGATCGGATTGAAGCTGATATGGTGTGGTATGAGCTGCTGCTCCAGGCCCCGCAGATGGAAGTAGCGGCAATCCCGCAGGAGCTCTGCACGATGCGCTTCGTTTCGAATATCCAGAGGATATCCGCGAAGGAGATGGAGGAGCTGCGCAAAGACCTCCCCCGAGCGGCTGGGGACGCTGGGTGGGGTGATGGCTGGAGGTCGTAGGAGGCCTTGACGGTCCAGCCCGGGAAATACTTCCAGTGGCGAGGCGAAGAAGGCGGCGAATCCCAGTGTAAAGAAATTCGGCGAATCCCCTGGGCTGGAGAAGATATCGCGAGGAATCTGGAAGTTGTGGCCGCCAATACGGATGAAGATCTCCGACTCGAACAGCTGGGAGATCAATCGAGGAACTGGTAGTGTCAGTACTTGCTTTCTCAATGATGTGAAGGGCGTGGGTCTCCTACGGCTATAGAATTGGGCATCCGCGAAGAACTTGACGAACTGCGGCCCATCTTTGGGCTGTATATGGTAGCCTAGTTGCCGACAGTTAGTTGCGACGCTGCAACTCTGCGAGACGTGCTGCCTACCTTGCAGATGCCTGGCAATCTCCTGAAACGTGGTAGGATCCCGGTCGATATATAGGGTCCTGACATTGGAGCTGTCTCCGTTCAGGCGAAGCTGTTCTTCGAAGAAGCGGGAAAAGTATGACGGGGCTCCAGAAAATTTAGCAAGGAACAGCATGAGGACGACTCATTGGGGTCGACTGACCATCGGAAGCAATCGAAGCTCCCGAAAGACGGAAGAGCTCAGTTCCTATCTGGATTGAAAACACCTTCTCTAGAGGAAGGGTGCATTTGGGACGCCCATTGCTGGGAGATTGACTTAGCGTCGGTCGACCAACTTCACTCGACATTGTGGACTGTGAAGATGATCTTCCGAGGATAGAGGCCTCGTTGGGACTGAATCAGACGTGTTCAACCCACGCAGGCGTAAATGCTCAACGTGGAATGTGCGGCAGGTATGACCGGGCCTGCAGGGGGTTCCTCTATCCAAGATGCACGGTCGGATATAGGAGTGGCCTCTCCAGGAGGTCTGTAATACAACGGTCTCGCTTCTCAAAAGATGTATAGTAAAATCTATAAGGAAATGGAACCACAAAGTCACAATTTGGAGTTGTTGTGCACACGGTCGACTGCTCCCATTCGGACCAGTTCTGAACAAGAGAAATTGATGATTTCAGTCCAGCTCAGGAGGACAAAGACGACAGTTATATGCAAAAATCTCAGCCGTGAGCTGGCGAGAGCACCAGTTGAATCACATCGTGATCCAACAACAGCCTGGATGTCTGGCAGCGGAATCAGCCAGAGTTACGCGCTCGGAGGTTCGGCGCGCGCATTCCGGGGATGGGATTGTCACGCACAGCGGTTAACTTTGGCTTCTGTCTGCTCGCTGTGAAGGCAGGGTGTTGGACCAGGGATATGTTGGAGTTTGATTCAACGGATATCAGAGCAGCAGGAAGGCTGGAGCAATCATGATGGAGTGCAGCGCCTTGTCCTCGCAAGCCACCCGTGGATGTACCGCGGAAGATGCCATCCCCAACGGCGTGGAGGACTCACACCCCCTCACGACATGGTGACGAGAATACTTGAAAGAGTTGCTGGGGAGGGAAGCGTACAAAGTACTTAGTCAAGCATAATATTAAGGTCAATCAAGCTCGGAACTGGCATGCGCGGTTCACATGGCAATTGACTGCAAGCTGCCAACTGCCTTGCCGACGAGTGCCATTCCCCGCACCCCCCAAAAAAGGCTCCTTCTTTCACCTCGGTGGATTTGCAACATCCCCTCAGCCAACCAGCAGAACTTACAGCCTCAACATCTGCTGATGGCTCCTAATTCTACTCCATATAGACTTTCGGATGGACCCACTGCTCCCCATCTCAGCTCTCCTTTTCTGATGTGCCTCGGGTGCCGTGCGCTGATCATCACAACGCCCACAATCGCCAAAAATATGGGGAGCACCCCGTGTTCGCCGGGTTTGGGACAAACGGTTCCCGGGTGCCTGGCGCATTTAGCTCTCATCGATCGCACTTTCCGACTGGCAGCACGACTGGCTTAGCCACTTGGCCTCCCCTCCTTTCGCAAGCATTACTTCTCTGGGATTTACCTACGCCTGGGTGGGCTGCTCACACGGCTCGTCTTTCTCCGCTATTTGAAGGGGCCGAATCCATTAGCAGCCGTGGGCCATCTCTGCTCCACTCGGGTTCCTGTTGAACATGGTTGCTGGTCATCTTCAATACCCTCATTGATCTTATAGATACCTTCTATACCTATATCGCTATCCTAGCAGGTGAACCACGCACACACCATGGCTGAAACAGCCTCTCACTACGTTCCTCTGGACGTGCCACTGCCTCCAGTCCCATCCACCAAGATCTTCACAGAGCAGCAATGGACCACTCTGCTGTCGTTGGCGGACACGGTCATTCCTTCAATCCGGAGTCCCAGCGCATACAAATCACCCTCCACTAAGGTTATACCGCACTCCGAACTGAACAGATCTCTGGCAACATTGACTCAAAGCATTCGCTCCCCGGACGCTGGCACCATTGCGGCACAGTACCTAGAGGAAGACGCGTCGTCGAATCCTCTGTTCCGGGAAGGCTTGCAGCGCCTCTTCTCCCAATATGTGCACGACGAAGGGAGAAATGGCCTGGGGTTTATCCTCAACGCTCTCAAGTGCGTATCCAATCTTAGACGTGGCATCAACAGCCAAAGCTAACATGAGAATAGTACTCGGGCGGGATCACTTCTCCTGACAGGATCCGTTACCCCGATCCATGAACAACCGTTGCACGTTCGGGAAGAGATCTTCCGAGGATGGGAGACTTCTCGGCTGAGCCCGTTGCGAGGTGTCTACAGGGCTTGCACTGGAATGTTCAAGCAAACCTGGGTCAAGTTCAGCCCAACTCTTGCTCCTGTACTTGGGTTCCCAAGGGTGCCAGTGCACGGCAAGCCTGCCGATGGTTTCAAGCACACCTTCCTCCAATTCCCCCCCGCTGATGAGCCGGAGACCATTGAGACCGACGTCGTCATCGTTGGTAGTGGTTGTGGTGGTAGCGTGGCTGCGAAGAACTTGGCTGAAGCAGGCCATAAAGTCTTGGTCTTGGACAAATCCTATCACTACACGTCAAATCACTTTCCCATGAACTTCAACGAGGCTTTCACTAGCATGTTCGAGTCAGGAGGTGCCGTCGTGACGGATGATGGCTCGATGGCTGTGCTGGCTGGTTCAACCTGGGGTGGCGGTGGCACCGTCAATTGGTCCGCTGCCCTGCAGACGCAGAGTTTTGTACGCGAGGAATGGGCGAAGAACGGCCTGCCTTTCTTTACCTCGATGGAATTCCAGAATTGTATGGATCGTGTTTCGGACCGGATGGGGGTCGACGTTGAGCATATAAAGCATAACAAGACAAATCGCTTCATTCTCGAAGGGGCCCGGAGGATGGGCTACTCTGCTAAGACGGTGCCCCAGAATACGGGCCATGGTGAGCATTATTGTGGCTACTGTACGCTCGGCTGCCACTCGACAGGGAAGAAGGGCCCCACGGAAACTTTCCTGGCAGATGCCGCGACAGCCGGCGCAACCTTCATTGAAGGCTTTCGTGCAAACAAAATCATATTCACGGACACTAAAGATGGCCAGGTAGCGTCGGGGGTCGAGGGGGTGTGGACATCCCGGGATGCATACCTAGGCCGTTCAGGTGCAACTGCAGTAAAGCGAAATGTCACCATCAAAGCGAAACGAGTTGTGGTCTCTTGCGGCACTCTGCAAAGTCCTTTGCTGCTCCTGCGCAGTGGATTGAAGAATCCCCACATTGGCCGGAACCTCCACCTCCACCCTGGTAAGATGCGTCCATTCGGGAAATGGTGCACGTGCTAACGGTTTTCACAGTTATCATTGCGGGTGCAGTGCTGGAAGAGGAATTTCGCCCTTGGGAAGGTGCTGCCCTGACAACCGTTGTCAATGAGTTCGAGAACCTAGATAACCAAGGACATGGGCTTAAGATCGAGGCCTTGTCAATGGTGCCCGCAGCTTTTCTCCCTCTGTTCCCCTGGAGGAATGGTCTCGACTATAAGCTCTGGGTGCAGAAATTGCCCCGCATGGCTGGTCTTATCATGCTCGCTCGCGATCAAGGCTCCGGTCGTGTTTATCCCGACCCAGGTGATGGACGAATTCGCATTGACTATACTGTTTCACCTATGGACCGTAAGCACATTGTCGAAGGTCTAATCGCTAGTGCAAAGATGGCATACGTTTCGGGTGCAAAGGAGTTTCACACTTCCTGGCGCGAAGTGCCCCCGTTCATCCGCCCTACCGATTCCGACACGGAGGATGCAGAGGGCGCCAACAATGCAGCCCTTCAAGCTTGGATCGCGGAAGTGCGTCGCAAGAAACCCGCTGATCCGGAGCGAACCATGTTTGCTAGCGCGCATCAGATGGGGACGTGTCGAATGGGCAAGTCGCCGAGGACCAGTGTGGTGGATTCGGACTGTCAAGTCTGGGGCACCCGGGGTCTGTATGTGGTGGATGCGTCCGTCTTCCCCAGCGCCAGTGGCGTCAACCCCATGATCACCAACATGGCCATTGCCGACCGAGCCAGTCGAAACTTGGCCCGATCAATGCGGAGGGGCGATCAGAACTTCCATGCTCGTCTGTAATTGCCAAAAGGTATACGTTGCTTGCATCCTTCTGCTCGTGCAGCAAGCCCTACCTGTTGTTCTGTTCATACATCTGTACCAGACACATTCATAGCAGGGCTGCTGGTTGTGGCTGGACCCATAATGGTATATATCGCTAGCAGAGAACCAATACATTGTTAGTTCATTTGATCACAGTCAACTTGCATTGCTTTTTCCTAATTAAGTCAAATCATAAGTCATGATTGCGGACCTGCCCCAATCCATTCCTTCCCTTAGTTCTCAGGCTCCTTCCTCTTCTCCACGAAGACCTTAGGACCAAATGCCTCCTTGACATGCTCACTCTCAATAACGCGCTCATACCAAGCCACCACACCAGGATACTCCTTCCTCATCTCCGCATCAATGGCCATCGAGAACCCCCAATACAGCGCCGCGGCAACACTAATATCCGCCAAGCTCAACTTCTCTGTTGCCACCCACGTCCTCTCCTTAAGCCTGTTCTCCAAGGCCCCCAGCGCGCGAGTCAATTTCTCCAGTCCACTCTTCTCTGTCGCCTCATCGTACGCCTTGTACCCGATCCGCCACAGCACCATCGAAGTCACCGCGCCCAGCACCTCCCCGTCCGCGAAGCAGATCCATTGACGGATCAGAGCACGTTCAGCGGGAGTGCTGCCGACCAATTGACCTGCCGCGGGACCGCTCTCGGCCACATATTGTGTGATGGCGTCGGATTCGGCGAGGCAAGTGCCGTCGGCGCCTTCGAAGGCGGGGACCTTGCCCAAGGGGAATTTGCTGAGGAAGACAGGGTCGCGGTTGGTTTCGCCCATTTTGAAGTCCGCGACGGTCAGGGTGAGGTTGTTGAAGTTGGCGGCCGCTTGGGTCTATGTTTAGGGGTTGGTTAGTTGGTGGTGATGAGTGAAGGGAGGGGTGGTGAGTACCTTCATGACCCGGGGGTTGTTAGGGTAGGTGTAGATGGTTCCGAAGGACATTTTGACGGTTGTTGTGAGGTTTGTATCTGGGTTGTGATGTAAAGGTAGAGTTTGGATTGGATTTGGATCTGGATGAATCAATCAAGAAGAGGACAGTCCTTGGGTTAAATATTGTATAGAACGGATAAAGGCGGAGAGTGAAGAGGGGTTGATTCCTAAACGTGAAGCTGAGATGACAAATCAGCGGAATGGCGGTGGACGATCATACACCCTGATGGAAAGTGATGGAATCAGTAATGATTCTTGTGGTCTGATCTGATGTTTGAAGTATGTTGTTCAACCCTGATGCTTACTGTGTTCTATAGTGTTTTGCTTCTTGCTCGTGGATTAAATTACTAACGTCTGGGAAGACTCGATTGGTGCTGTCAGCAGGATTGGTAAATCCCGAGTGGCTTGCTTTTGCAGGAGATTTTCGGATTGGCTGGTGGGGTAAGCAAGGGTGGATTATTAGAATTTGCTTTGTCGACAATGGAATTCACCGAGTATGTAGTATAGTTATTTAGGTACTATGTTGATATCTACTTTAGAGTTCATGTTTGGTGATATGTTTACTATATGGCGTCATTAGAGCTAAGTGTGGAAGATCCAGTCTGATTGGCATATCCGCGCTTAAGGTTGCTGGATCTTGATTCCGGCCCCTGGGCTAGTCATCTAATCCAGACGGCAGTTCTTGGTTGACTATTCCTTGAATGGTGCATTTCCTGCTGTTTGTATCTAGATTTCTGGCATGGTGCGTCAAATCAGGTCGAGAATTGTGCCATGGACTAGTATATGACACGAGGGCTCATAGACAGCATTGATTTTGCATGCATGCTATCGGAGAGTATTGTATCTTCCTAGCTGTTTTTGCTTGGTCTGAGTTGTGATTAGCATGCATTGACTCCGATTTCTTCTGGGCTTAAGAAAGAGTGCCACTAATACAGTATTCCTGAGTTCTAGTAGAGAACAATGTGTAACAGAAGTACCGCTCATCTCGTTCCTAAGTAAAGTATACATACGTTTCTGTATCACCAATACTAAGAGGCTCTGTTTCCAAAGCCTGAGAACTATAACCAAACAGCCTCACCCTGCCATTCACTACTTACCAACCTCTAGAAATTGGCACGGCAACCCGAATTCAAACTCACAATCAAACATATACAACACCGAATATCTCCTCTCCCATAATGCGTAGCACAAACTATCCTCCTTCTTCACCCCTACGGCCAATCTATCATCATGGATCCCATAATCAAAATACCCGGAGCATATCCTCGTGACTTCACCGAATACCGATCAAGCCCCTTGATCGTGAATAAACTCATCAGTGGCGCATACTTCACGGAATTCACTCCTCAGGTCACAGCCCTGCTATCGAATTATGATGCTCGCGTGCCTCGCGAAACTGCGCGTAGCATTTTCAACAAGCAGTCAAATACCGCCGCCATGATCCTCAGTTGTCTGAATAGAATTGTTGGAGGTATTGTGAACGTCACCTGTTTGCTTGTGTGCTTCGTGTACTCGAAATATTGTGACTTCAGGTAGTATGTCATAATTTGACTAATTGCTTAGTTGTGTAGTGCTAATATAAGTCCACTTTCCAGCACATCCCAGTCAGGAAATATTCTGGACTACGAAACAGTCACCAAAATGCTCAAACCTATACTCCTTCTGCTCGCAGGCTACGAAGCAGCCCAGGTATACTCAATCACCACAGACGGAGGAGTCTTAAACGGAGAAATAGCGGTGCATGCCTGGGGGCACGATTTCGAACTCGCCTGTGATTTGAAGCGGTACGAGAAATCGCTGGCGCATCATGAGTGCGAAGACGATCATCTCTCCAAGACAATGGGTAGGGTTATTCGCGCGATGGGACACAGTCATAATAAGTTATTAGGATCCCCAGTGCTTCATATCGAACAGTTTAACTGATCCGTCTGTGCAGGCTCACCTACATAATGGCCACAGCTGTCCTGACTGAATGCATCTGCAACATTCTACAAGTTGGCAGCCGCCATGGACTGGCGGTCCTGATGGCATGTATTCTCACAGTTTTATTTGCAGCAGCGGAAGATTACGTTAATTGCTCTACTACGCCTGTGAAAGAGCGTCGCGAGGCGACTCTTCGGGACTTGATGATCAGTGCATTGAAGAAGAGTAGTATTCGCTATGCTAAGGTTCAGAGTATGTGGACTTCTCAGAAGCAGAGTACTAGCGACTCAGGAGTACTGGAAAAGTACCTTATCAACGGATTGAAGGCACCCATCACAGGAACCGTTCACGATGTATATGTGACTCACTATAGATGTGGGATCGTTGTCCAGCGGTCTGCCCCCGAAGAGGATACCGTCGCTCTCGCCAGCCCTGCTGAGTCTTCGGATGATGTTCAAGAAGGATACATGGTCTCCTACGGCATTCGGTACTTAGCGGAGGTGAACCCGCAGGATCAGCAAGCCATAGCGAAGGGGATTGGTAGATCGTGGACATGTTTGGACCAGACCAGTACATTGATATTGACCGAGTGTGATATTTCTGACGAGCACGCGGACTTTTACTTCGATTTTGATGCATGGAGCGATGATGACAATGATGACGACGAGGAGGAAGAGGGCATTGAGATCAACGGCTCGCTGAATGGGTTTCTATAGCGTTGGAATTAATGTCCTGTCACCTGCTGGTGTTGGTATTCCTGTTCAGCCAATTTAACTAAAAGCATATCCTACAATTACTTACCTCTTCCCCTTCCCCATCCCCATCTCATCCCTTCCAACACAGAACAAACCATAAACATCAAATGGGTATCACACACCACACCACCCCCATAAAACCATCAAATCCACCCCGACACCCTCCAGCACCCCTCACAAACTACCCTCTCCCTCTTCCCCCCACCACCAACACCACCCGCAACTCCCAACACCATCCCCACCCTCCTCAACCCGCCACAGCCACCACAAAACACCCTCAGCTCGCCCTCCACCCTCACCAACGCCCCAGCCCCATACCTCGCCTCCTCGCCCTCGCCCTCCCCCCTTGGCATAACCCCACAATCAACACAGAACCTCTTCGCCCTGTCCCGCCCATACCGACCTCTTCCGCGCCGGAGCATCCGGTCCGCGAAGAAGGAGCCGGGGCGCAGTCGGAGACAGTATCGGCAAGCGTAAAGGTTGTGGGCGACGGCGTAGTCGGTGGTTTCGGCTGCGAGGAGGGCGGAGTGTGTGGGTTGTGGGAGGAGGGTGTAGAAGTACGTGCAGGTTGCTTGGAGGGAGTAGATGTCCGGGAGGAGGGGGAGGTGGGAGGTTATTTGAAGGTGGAGTTCCGGTGGGAGGGCGAGGAGGGGAGGTTTCTTTGCTTCGCTCTGGGGGATGTTTTGATTATTAGAAAGGTGTTGAGTGGATGGTGGGTTGGGGGTGGTTTGTGGGGGGAGTGGATTCATGAAGTATGGTCATTGTTGTTGTTGTTGTTAGTAGTGAAGGAAAGATGGTTGGTGGAGTATGGGGGAGAGGGGAAGGTGGAGGGAGGGAAATGCGGGGGTGATGTAATAGGTGAGAGGGGGTGCGGACACGTGCTTGTGGGTTCTATGTGAGGAGTTGGGTCAACTGGGATCTGTATAATTGCTTTCATTTTATGCTTTTGTCATATCTACATTATTGCTGGTTGCTATTAGTCCTGTCTGGCTGGGTCCTGCTCTGGCTTGTTCTGCAAATACTCGTCGATCTCCGCCATAATCTCTGGTGTCAGGCGAGGGAGCAACTTCAGACTCTCGACATTGTCAACAACCTGCTCTGGCCGAGAGGCACCGGTGATCACGGCGGAGACATTCTCATTCTTTAGGCACCATGCCAGGGCCAATTGCGACAGCTTGACTCCCATCTTGTCCGCGAGTTCCTAGAATCCTGTCAGCGATATGCTTTGGTTGAACGACGGCAGTAACATACCTTCAGTCCCACGATCTTCTTGATGTTCCCAGCCCATTGCTCGTTCTCCCAGTCCTTGCGTACGCTGCTTGCGAACTTGTCGTTGCTCTCAGCGAAGCGAGACCCTGGTGGAGGCTGTGTCGTCGCATCGTTGTACTTGCCACTGAGGAGACCCATCTTCAAGGGCGAAAAGGTGGTCAACCCAATGCCGCAGCGGGAGTACAGTCGCTGGAACTGCCCTTCCACCTTCTGCCGATCCAACATGTTGTACAAAGGTTGTTCGACGATGGGCGCAATCAGTCCCAGAGCCCTGGCAATGCCGCACGCTTCGCTGATTTCGTCCGCAGACCATTCAGATGTACCCCAGTAAAATGCCCAGCCTTTCTCAATGACATGGTTGAAGGCTCGCACCGTCTCTTCCATGGGTGTTAGGCGATCGGGGCGGTGGGCGTATATGATGTCGACATATTCGAGCTGTAGACGTTCGAGAGATGCTCGTGTGCCTTCGACGATGTGCTTGCGCGACAAGCCGTGGTTGTTGATCAAGATTTCGCCGTTTGCCAGACCCCAATTGAGCTGTTGATGATTTAAGCCTATGGCTACCTTGGTTGTATAAAGAATGGCACGTACCTTGGTGCTAATGACGAGATCGCTGCGCTTCCAGCCAAACTTCTTGATGGCTTGACCCATGACAATTTCTGATTGTCCGCCCGCATAGCTCTCAGCTGTGTCGAAGAAGTTGATTCCCAAGTCGTAGGCTTGCTTCATGCAGTTGAACGTGATTTCTAGGGCAAGGAATTAGCTGTTGGTGTACCTTGGGGTGGCTACAGTGATACCTACCGTTGTCGACATGACCGCCAAATCTATTAGACGATAGAGTTAACCATGTGCCCAATTATCCTTGGAATGAGGCAGAATACTCACGTCAACCAACCTCCCAGTCCAAGTGCAGACACATGTAGACCAGAATTCCCCACCCGCCGGTAGAGCATATCCTTGTTCTTGTTTGGCCAGGCCATGATTATGAGTGAAAATATCCTTTGAGAGCCAGTGGTTCGTAAAAGGGGATTCGGGGGGAAAGACAGAGCGTATTGATTGCAATTCGTGAGGGGTCATGGAACCAATTTATCTGGTAGCGACAGCCATTGCGTCGCGCCGGGGGAGCTTCCATCGCGATCTGGCAGCGATTGGTCAGGCAGAAGCGGCCATTGTACTGGACTCGAATGAGAGCTGTTTGTGACAAGATTCCCGGGTCCTCGTGCTTTGTAAAGGCCAATCATACGAGCAACAAGTTAAAGAGGGGCAAATGCGGAGGCCAGCAGAGGCGTCGGAGGAATACTCGGAGGGTCTGGCTCTGCTTTAGCCTGGATGATTTAGCATGGGCACTAGTGGTCTTAGCCGGGTCCGAGAAAGGCTGCACAGGCTCTATCTTCGTCTCCCATGCACTACAAGTGAAGTATAGCAATGTGAAGATAGTAATGGCCACAAGAGTGGAGGAGAGGTCTGAGCAGGGATAATTGGAGTAAATGAGTGCAATCTGTGGGATCGATCTCATTATAGATAGTACGCTTGTCAGGTGACAGCAGGCAGACAGCCGTTTATAGTCCAGCCAGCGGCGACCGAGTTCCTACAAGTACATCCGTTCACCTTTGGGGAAAAATTTCTTCATCTCTTGCATTTCTACCATGTCTTCTATGTTTTTCTGCAAGCATGGCCCAATTATGGTCTTTCATACCACCAATTGCTTCGCGACCGCCCGATGGGATACCAAATGCCTATGGTGGGAGGTTTGAAGCCGACGCATTAAATGCAACCTCCTGCAAGCCGCCTAACCCTCCTGTGACCGTTACAGTAACTGTTTCGCTGCTTTCCCTGGTGCATGATCTCTACATATTAATCTTTATGTCTCTGTTTCCAAGAAGATGGTGCTTTTCACGGAGCTCGTCCCCTGATGTCTGCGATGGACAATCCAGGCACACGGGGTGGGTCTCGATAATGGCGTGCCGCGTGGAGTTGAAGGCGCAATCACCCGCTATCATTAGACACCCTCATCGTATCATTGCAACACATTTCCGACAAAAAATCAAAGTCAAGCAATACAGCAGCTTGTGCAACGAAGTCACCCGAACTGCTCCATCGATCAACTCGGATACGCCACGTTTGCACCAGGCGTCGCTTCAAGCTGCACCACTCAGGGAATGCGTAGGCTTTGCCCCGCAATAACCTCGGGTTGACTGTCTCCTCGCGTCTTTTGGGATATGCAGCGTCACGCTACTGGCTGATTTTCGGCTCAACTGACAGCCCATCGCCGTTCAACTTTTCCCACAACACCTTCCTGTTCCTTTTTGTCATGCATTCAATCAGAGACGTTTGCGCTACGCCTGTGACTTGACAACCGCAAAGATGTCCTCCAGAGCAAGTATAACCAAGAAAGCATGCGACGGATGTAAGATTCGGAAGATTCGCTGCGGTGGTGGCCAGCCATGCCGGTCCTGCTTCAATGCACGCATCAAGTGTACCTACATTCGGGTCCAGCAACCTCGTGGTCCTCAGAAGCTGCGCGCAACGACAAAGTACCTTATAGACCAAGCTCAACGCGGTATCGAGGTACATGATGCTCTACCCTCAGTCCCTCAGAGCGGGGAGGTACTAGAAACCGACCACGCCTCGACACCAGTACAGCGAGAATGCGGTGCAAAATCGGAAAGGTGCGTTAATGACCATTCTCGTATCTCCCGGGTCGTCGTGCAAAATATGGCGTTCCGTCGCCAGAAACTGCCACTTGAGTGTGCTTATAACCGTCTAATTCGTTGAGCGACACAGATCTCGGATACCCACCAATGTTCTCGCATCCCCGCTTTATATATACCACGTGCGAATGTATCCAGTCTGGCCTGTCGTGGATGTCGAAAGTGTCATGTCCAGTTTGCAGCAGGATACTGAGGAGAACGACCATGAGACATATGCATTGGCAACTGCTGTGGCAGCGGCAACGATCGCTCAATTAAGGCTAGGGCAAAACTCTCTCCCTGACAAGTCGGTGACTGCGGAAACATTTGCTGCGGAGTGCATGAAGGCCCGCAGATCCTGCGATTACCGATCAAGGCTCAATTTGAATAATGTCCGGACGGCCTTTTTCCTTCATGTATACTTTGAGAACCACCAATCGGGCGCCAGTGAATCACTATTATACTTGAGAGAGGCTATTACACTCGCCCAGATGATGTGTCTGCATCGAGAAGTCTCGTACGCTGGCCTTCCGCCGGAAGAGCAACAAATGCGTCGCCGTGTGCTATGGCTGTTGTTTGTCACTGAACGGTAAGTGAACCAGTCTTGCTTTGTGTCATTGTCCTAACGATCTCATAGCGGCGTCTGCATCCTCCACAAACTCCCCGTAGTCTTGAGGACAGATATCTCAACCCCAGAGCTTGATGCGAATGATGAGCCCCACGTTCTGCCGGCCTTCCTGAAACTGCTTAATCTGTTCCGACTGTTCGAGCAGTCTAAAATGTTCGACATTATCGAGGATGATCAGGGAGGCTTTGAGCCACTGTCTAGCGAAATCCCTAACCTAGACAGCCGTTTTCTTAGGCTATTGCAAGATAATTTGCAGGACGGGTCAGCTCTGTTGGATCATATTTCAGACGTACAGAAAGCAGATCTTTGCGTTACCCGACATTGGATGCGCATGATCTTGTGGAAATTCTCGTCCAAGAAAAGCGCTCATGGAT